TTAATATTTAACAAATGCTCCTGGCATCCCAAGATTAAAATGCAGTGTAAAATGTGCCATTACAAGATGACTGAATTTCTGAAAAGTCAACAAATAAAACCACAATGAGATACCACCACATACTCACTAGAACAGCTAAAAATGAAAATGAAAACAAAACTGACCATCCTAAGTTTTCATAAGCATGTGGAGCAACTGGAAATCTTATACATTGTTGGTGGGAATGCAAAATGTACAGTCACTTCGGGAAAAAGTTGGTAATTTTTTTTTGTAAAATTAAACACACACTCACTATGCAACTCAGAAATTTCACTCCTAGGTACATACTCAAGAGAAATGAGACTGTATGTTCACACAACACCTGTAAGTGAATGTATATAGTGGCTTTACCTGTAAATGCCAAAAGCTGGACAACTCAAATTCCTTCAAATGGTAAATGAATGAAGAAACTAGTACACCCATTTTAGAACACTTGTCAGCAATACAAAGGAGTGAACTGAAATAAAGCTTGCACATATGGCCGAATGATTTTTAACAAGGGTTCCAAGACTGCACAATGGGGAAAGGACAGTCTCTTCAACAAATGGTGCGGGGAGAACTGGGTAGCCATATGCAAAAGAATGAAGTTAGACCCTTTCCTTATGTCATATACAAAAATTAACTCAAATGGGTTAAAGATTTAAACATTAAGACCTAACACTATTAAATTCCTAGAGGAAAACATGGGGGAAAGCTTCACGACAGTGGACTTGGCAATGATTCCATGAGTGTGACACCAAAAGTGTAGGCAACAAAAGAAAAAATAGACAACTGGGACTACCTAAAACTTTAAAAACTTCTGTGTGTCACAATAAACAGTCAAAGGAGTGAAAAGGTAACTTATGGAATGGGAAAAAATAATTGCAAATCTTATATCTGATAAGGGGTTAATATCCAGAATATATAAGGAATTTCTAAAACTCAACAACAAAAACCCAATTTAAAAATGGGCAAAGGACTTGAATAGACAATTTACTAAAGAAGATATACGAATGGCCAATACGCACAGGAAAAGATACTCACCATCACTAATCATCAGAGAGATGCAAATCAAAACCACTGCGAGGTCATTACCCCACACCCTTCAGGACGCTGCTACCAACAGGACAGAAAATAAACGTTGGACGGTGCCGTGGCGGTCCTGGGATCTGTCTCTTGCTTCAGCAGGGTCTGGATGGAGCAGACCTACAGACGCCCCTTCTTTCCAACTACCCCCAACCTCTTCATCACCACCCTTGGAACCATTTCAGCATCCTCAGCCTCCGAGACCAGCCAACGCCGGGTTTTTTACCTTAATTTTCATTGCCGAACAACCATGAGCTCCAAATTCGTCAGCATTATTCCACCCGGGTCGGGGCTGCCGTCGACCGACCAGCCACTCAGCATCTGCGGGCCCCTCACTCCTGCCTCTCTGTGGGCTTCTGTTTCGACCGCGACCACGTGGCTCTGCAGGCCGTGGGCCCCTGCTCCCCGAGGCGGCCGAGAAGCAATGGGCGCTGAGCGCCTCTTAAAGACGCAAAACCAGTGCGGTGCGCGTTCTCCTCCAGGAGGTGCCGAAGCCTTCCCAGGATGAGCGGGGTGACACTCAGGACACGCGGAAGCCGCCACGGTCCTGGTGAAGAACCTGACCCAGGCCCGTTTGGACCTGCCTGCCCTGGGTTCAGCCCGCACAGACCCTCAGCTCTGGGACTTCCTGCAGAGCCGCGTCCTGGGTGAGCAGGTGAAACTTGTCAAGAAGAAGGGCCACACCTGACCCCCCTCCTCAGGCTGGTCGGCCCCCAGGCTGGGCGGGGCGGTGTCTCTTTGAAAGGCTCCCCTTCAAGCAAGAAGAGGAAGCCTTTGGAGCCCAGAGGCCTTTGAGGGGCCCCTCTGCCCTTCCCTGATATCTGGCTTTTGCCTGAGCCTCTCCCCGAAACTGCCAGACACCCTTTTAACTGCCCTGGAAACCTCTCCCATGCATTGGACCAAATGGAAACAATAAAACTGCTTGCAGGAGAAAAAGAAAAAAAATGTTGGAGAGGATGTAGAGAAGTTGGAACTGTGCACTGTTTGGTGGGAATGTAAAATGGTGCAGCTATTATGGAAAACAGTATGGATGTTCCTTAAATTTTTTTAAAAATAGAATTACATATGATCCAGCAATCCTTCTTCCTATAGATATCCAAAGAACTCAAAGTAGGATCTTGAAGAGATATTTGTACACTCATGCGTCTTAAAAGCCAACTTGTTTATTCAAACTTCAGTATGGTCCAATAATAGAATGCAAGTTTAAAATTGTCTGGTAAACAAGGAATTCTTTTTTTATCTCTGTGTGTATGTCTGCAACCATATTTATTACTCCATTTTCAGAAATGGTCCAGCTTGTAAATTTGAGAACTTTTGAGAATGTGAAGTCCGCTCAGACAGCCCTTCTGCCACATAATGTTTTAGAAAACATTTGAAGCACCTGGTAGTTGACAAGGCACATAGGCACTGGGAGGAGAAGTTGAGCACTATTTTCTTCTGGGTTTGATTTAGAAATCCCTTATTGGACTGCTCAAAACAGCAGAATCAATCCTTTGTCCTCACACAGCCTCGAACTCCCTGTAGCTCTAAACAATCTCTTTATAAAGCTTGATGATTCTGCCTCCCTATTTGTAAAATATTTGGCTCGGAGGAATAAAGATGGATGGATACACTTAATCCCAGGAAAAACCGGGTACTTAGTTTTAGGCAGTTTAGAAGCCATGATAGTAACAATAATAACCAATTCACCCCAAACCACAGGAAAGAACAAGACAGAGCGGTTAGCACTGTCTTGTACAGTCAGCCTTAGCTACTTTTCTTCCTAGCTACTTCTGTTGTTGGTTTTTCAGGCTCCTTGTACACAGCAGCTTCCAAGTGCAAAATCCCAAAAAAGCTGAATCGTCCTGATTCCTCCCAACGTTGGCACAGACTCTAAGAAATTGAGAATGCCAGTAATCCTGGAGAAACAGATGGACATTTTACATTGCAAATATTTATGCACAACCCAAATGCTGCAGTTTTGGACAAAATATGGAAATCTTAGCCCTTCCTTGTGTCCTTCCATCCTAATGAGGAAACCTACCAAGGCCAGAGAAGGAAGGGAGAAAAGATCATCTGGATTGAAAGAAAAAAGCCTGGCAGGTTTGGGTCACTTGTGAAATAAAGTTTTATTGTTCCCAAGGTTTGCAAAATGGATCCTGGTTGACGCAACCCTCATTTTAATTCTGTAAGCTACCAAGTGTTTGAGATTAGACAAAAGGGATGGTGAGATTATTTCCTAAACCATAAAGCATTAAGACAAAAATGTTAGATCTGAAGGGCACTTTATCAAAATCTAAACCAACAGCGTAAAATTTCAAAACAGAAAGTAGGGCAGAACGATCCACAGATACTAAGGAATAGAAAAGAAAATACCTGGAAGTGAAGAGAAGGTTTAAAAAAAACCAACAACAAGAAGTGTTGGCTTTAGAAGCTATGAGATGAAGGTTTAGAAAATATAATTGGCTTTTTTAAGGGCAGCATTACATCAGTTATCAAAAGTGGACCAGGGTTGGTTGGAGTGTTGTCCTGTTGAGCCCGAATTGCCCCAGCTGGGGCACATACAGGAATCAACCGATGAGTGCATGGATGGATGGCCCGGCAGGTCAAGGTCTCCCGCTCTCTCTGTGAAAGTCAATAAATAAAAATTAAAAAAATAAAGTGGTCTAGAAATTCAGTCAGATGCTAAAGCAATCCTTTGTAGAAAGAAAAGGGAAATATCTGTATTATACATTTGATTCAGTTATATTTTTATATGCTTTGGAATGCCATAGGAAGGGGCTAAAAGAGGTCACTTTGATGGTTTCGCTTTGGTATATAAATTAATAAACTAGGTATATGTACTGTTTGGGCATTCTTCTGAATTCATCAATGTGTTTCTGCATATTAGATTGATCTCCTTTGACTCCCTGGCTTCGTGGGGTGGCCTTCTGTTGTAGGAGACCCATGGGACTCAGTGGTGCAGTCTCCTTGATCTCCTGAGCTGGATGCTTTTGGGATGCCCTTTATACTCTTCATGTGGTTCCCTTGTTGTAATTAGGTTTGGGTTGTTGTTGGGTCATTCTTTGGTGAGTTCTGCCCTCCTGCTGGCTGGCGGAGAGTCACACCGCCCACCAAGAGCTGGCTTTAACATTTAGCTTTTCATGTGCTCTGAAAAGGGGTTACTTCCAGAGGAATGTGCAGGGAAGGAGGAGCAAGGAGTCTCTGTAAATGTGTTTCTTGAATAAATGCCATATGTTTAAGTATTTTGACATTTACTTCTGAATTGTAAGATTAAGTATGAAGGGTATAGCAGCCAACATCTCCGGGCGTGAGGACCCCTGTACATAATCCAGTTTAGAATAGAGGGGCTTCCCTAAGTCCTGTGGTCTCCATACCATTTTGTACAATTACAGTAGAGCTGCTTTTAAACAGAAGTTATCTGGAGACCTCCTGTGACACATCTAAAAAAAAAAAGGCAAAGCAAGTGTTGACAGTGTGGGTTAGAGAAAACACAGGCTGGTGATGTCATCATCTCTGGCTCCTTCAAAAGTCCTTATTTAGTAGCGTTAGGAGAGCGGTTCCGAAATTTCCGTCCCCCCACCGGTTGCGTCAGGACATTTGTTGAAAATATCGATTCCTAGCCTCTGTCCTCAACTTGCTGAGTCAGTATCCTCCGAGATAGAACCTGAAAATCCGAATTTTTAAAACCAGCGTCGCAATCGGCTTGGGATCCAGAGGTCGGATACACTTCCCCACTTATCTCTATTGGTCTCATTCTGCGGCCGGTCCCTGTCCCCGGTGGTCCCCAACCCCGGCCTGCCCAGGCACCGGCCCCGCCCCGGCCCCGCCCCCAACCTCACCCCCAGTCTCCGCAGTCTCGCGTGGCCTCGCGGCCCGCTTCCCGTAAGGCCCCGCGCCGGGCCGCCGCGGTTGCCAGGCAACACGGGGTCACTGTCACTGGCCGCGCGGCGTTCGAGCTGGAGATGGGGCCACGGGGCCTTCTGCCACTCCTGCTGGTGCTCCTGGGCTGCTGGGTCTCCGTGAGCGCCCGGGCCGGGGCCGCCCTGGCGGTGACGACGGAAGGCCTCAACTCTGCGGAGCCAGCCCCGACGACTCCCCGACCTGCCGCGTCTCCTAGGCCCCCCGGTACCCCCGGGGTCCCCGAGCCCTCCTCCAATCCCAGACCCGGCCTGGTCACTGACGGTGGGTATCACGTGCCAATTCCAGGGGATGCACAGTGATCCACCTTGGAGGGCATAGCCCGGGTAGGGCTGTAATAATGATGGTTGAGCAAGCATTCCTAAATGCTTCGTAGGCATTCTCTGTTTAGAGGTAGAGTTATCCTTGTCATACAGATGAGAGAACCGAAGCTCAGAGAGTGTAAGTGGGACAACATCAAATCTGTGAAAGTACTTGGCAGTGGTCCCGGACAACGTCAATGCTAAAGGTAGTAATGAATGAAGTCCGTGCAGCTTTGCAGCCAAAGTCGAAATTAAATGGAAAATTTCTAGACAGTTGTGAAAATTAAATGCACTGAAACTTTTCACTTATAAAAAGGAGATGCCAAAAGTTTAGCTTTCTAAATGCCACAAAGTCAAGGCCCTTATCCTTACCCACTGATTTGAATTACGAACACCAAGGATTCCTCCTGTGTTGAGTTAGAGGGTGAAATTATGGGGTCAGGGATTATGCTCACTAATTAGGATTCATCTTTAGGGATAATTAACATATTTCTCAGAAAGTGACCTAATCCTGGAGTTAAACGTTTATTGAATATAATCAAACTTGACATGGATGACTTCAGGGGATGTCAGTGATCCCCAGATGGGGAGCAAAATTTTGTGAAAATGCACTTTCCATTGTTATTGTGAAATAATTCACACAAGCAAATAAGAATGTTGTATGGGCTCTATGCTAGCATTTACTTGAGATCCTTTTTGTTTTGTTTTGTTTTTGCATGAAATTTGTTTTTGAAAAAGAAACAAAACATTACAGTTAAAATTGAAGCGTTGATCTTATTCCCTCCTCCCCAGCAATAATTACTACTATGAATTCAGTGTTTATCATTCTTAGGCTCTGCTATTTCTTTAAAAGGGTTTTCCCCCTCTGACAGAATGAAATAAGGAATTAAAAGTCCAGATACTCTTCATTTTTAAAAATTAAAAGTTACTAAATGGGGAGAGTCCTGCCCCTCCCCATGTTTTATTGTCTAAGTGACCAAAGCTATTTCTATGAGCCCAAGTACAAAGCACCTGAGCCAGTTTGATTCTTGGCCATAGCCTGTGACTATGGGCTCAGCTTCAAAGCTGCAGGTGACATCTGAGAGAGGAACAAGACTGAGAACCCTGACTGCTGGTTGCCTTAAGTGGGTCCTTGCTCTGAATCAAAATCTCCAGAGGAGGACTGTGGGGATCTGCAGTGTTAAACCGGCAGTTCTTATGGCCAGGCAAGTGATTTAGCATGCCGGTTCCTCAGCCTGTCTCCATGGTCAGCGTCTCCTGGAAAATGTTTGAACAACACAGGTCTGGGTTTCACGGCCAGCTTACCAAACCGCAGTCTTTGCAGGTAGGGCGCAAACAACTTTCCAAGTGAGTGAGATGATTAGCCACTTCGGGGAAACCCCGGACTGCGGCGTGCTCAACCTAATTTTCACTTCACACATTTGCCCCAAAGGGCAATAGCAAAAATCAAATGGGCATTTGTATGAAATGGGTTTTGGTGCCTTCCAGTAGTGGCAGGGGGCAGTCACTACCTGCTGATGGTGATGCTGTGCATCTCACCTCTTGTTTCTGTAGTTGCTGCTTTGTGTGCCTGCGACCTGTCTCCAGCACAGTGTGATGTCAACTGCTGTTGTGATCCCGATTGCAGCTCTGTGGATTTCAGTGTCTTTTCTGGTTGCTCAATACCAGTTGTCACGTAAGTTTGTGACACGTGGCAGTTTTGATACAATTGGATTAAGGTTACAGAGTTTTGAGCCAGAATGTGAAAACTCCCCCAGGCTGGGAAACTCAAACCTGATTTCCTTGAATGGTGCACCCTGCAGAAGCCATGCCGTCCAAACCAACGTGTAGAAGAGTATCTACTCCTTATTTGCATCCAGCCAGGTGATGGTGCAGACAGAAGAGCAGAAAGAGTACTTTTTAAAGTGTATAATGACATCTCTGTATTCAGAGATTGAATTACACTTCACTTTGATTTGTAAACAGATAATGTGTCACATTTTTGTGTCAGTGAATTAGTTTTATTTATAGCCAAGGGTGAAAGGTGCAGTTTAATTTTGCAGCTTTTGTTTTGGATGTAGTACTTGTAGCAATAAATTAAATAGATAGTTAGGAAAGCTTTGTTTATACTTTTCTGATATGCAAGTCTCCCAGGAATTCTCACAGTTCATATTGTATAGTAGAATAATGGAAAATGACATTCCCAGTCTATTACAAGACAAAGAAACAATCTCTTCTGAATAATCTGTTTCTTGTAATTCAGATTTCAAAGCTTTTTTGGGGGGAAAAACACCCAGCAGCACTTAAAGGAGTTAATTTGTTCAGGATGGGACTAACATATTCAGAGATAGCTAATTTAAATTTAACCTTGTAGCAATTTGTAGTAATTGATACTTGATAGATTGAATGCTTTTTGGAAGTACAATGTGCTTTTCCCATGAAACTGTTTTATTGACCAATAGGAAGGGGAATCTACTTCTAATATTGTAAAAATGCCTGGAGAATGGGATGTTGTAGTCAGATTATTTTTTTATGTCTACCTGGACTACAGGTGGTTCAGTCTTTATTGAAAATCTTCCTGCTTGCCCTAGATGGATAGCTTAGTTGGTTAGTGCAAGAGAGAGAGAGAGAGAGAGAGAGAGAGAGAGAGAGAGAGAGAGAAAGGGAAAGAGAGAGAGAGAGAGAGACATCGATTTGTTATTCCACTTATTTATATATTCATTGGTTTATTCTATGTGCCGCGATTGGAGATTGAACAATGAAGCCATTTAGTATAATATTGCAAAAACATATTTGATGATGTAAATGTTGGGCAATATATAGTAAATGAGAAAAGGCCTTAAAGGCGGTGTGTAGAATATTATCCCATTTCTGTTACATCTCTATTACCATACCATATCTGTATCTGAATCAAATTGATTAGGTTTTATAAAGTCTGGTAATGGTTTAAGACCTGATGTGCCCTAACGTCTAAACCCCGAAACTTCCAGATGACTTCACATTTTCTTATTTTCACAGTCCTTTGAGGATGGCTTTATTCTAAATAAAAGGAATTTTATATCCCTTCTGATAACTTACAAAAGTTCTGCAAAATTTTATATAATTGATTCTGTCAGAGTTTATAGGGTTCATTTACATCAAAATTATACCCTGACTTATATTTCATACTTGACAAGATTTCCTTAAAGGTTATTCTACTTGTCTTAATGTTTTCCCTGTTAGAGGAAAAACTTGCAAATGCCAAACATTTAACACTGAATAAACTAAATAAAAATGGATTCAATTCTAGCATCACACTTTCATAAATATCTCCATGTAGTTGTTAACATGGTACATAGTCCATCTGACAGGTTTAAATGATCTTGCTAAGATTGTGTACACATGCCTTAAAACTTTGTGTTATCATCTTTTTTAATTTTCAGGGGTGATAGTCAGTTTTGTAGCCAAAAAGCAGCCATTTATTCATTGAATTTCACAGCAAACCCACCTCAGAGAGTATTTAAAATTGTCGACCAGATCAATCCATCTATTTTCTGCATTCATATTACAAACTGTAAGTATTTGATGGTTGATATACTTTGTGAAACTCTGAAAATGTTTTTTCTTTTAAAATATCTGTTGTGGAAAAATGTCCTGTTCAGTTAGATTTAAAGCAATCATTCTGCGGTTTGGCTAGGGTGTGTCCTCTGAGGTCATTTCACAGGTAGCTGCAAGTAACTTCATACACCTCTGGGCACACACATTGTCTTTACAAGTAAAGAAACTGTAGTTGACTTTTGAAATTTCATACTTTATTCCAAAAGTGTTTATGATATGTACACATGCATAGGAATCTAGATTTATTTAAGTATATGAGGGGATTTTTTCCCTTTATTTTGTCCTGGTTTAATGGTTGAGTATCAGGTTCAGCTTTGGTTTCAATTTCCTTTTTTCTCTTTTATTTTTACCTAAGATATTTGCATGAAAACAGGATCTTTATTTTTATCTGAGCATTTGACTCAAATAGGTGTCTAGATCCAAAGCACACATAAAGTGTAAAATGTTATCGATATCAAAGATTAGAGACACATTTATGGTTGTATCAGTTAAGCTTTATCATCTTTTCAGAACGTCTTCATATTTTGGTTTCGTTCTCTTATAAGTGAAAACTTAGGCAAATGCTCTGTGATTTGTAACCTGGAGTGATGACTGGTCAGTCATTGTTGCATTCTCTGACATAACACTGGCCCAGTGAACCTACCAGCCTGTTCCCTTTGACCTTTTCCATAAACAGCACATGTTCTCCCGGGCTCCGGAGGTGGCTGTGTGAGGGCAGAAACAGGGTCTTTCATCCCCATAGTCATCTGGGCAGAGCTTTCCCCTAGAGGGTTATGCAGGAGACTCTTCAGTCCATGGGCTGGAGAAAGTGGCTGGCTTCTGCCATGCTGTTGCTCTGGGCTTTCGAAAGCACTGCTTCCACACTGTTAGAGAAGCAGGTCTGGGGATCCTGTTTACTTGTCAGATTCAACGGATCTTGGGGTTAGGGTTAGGGTATTTTATACTGATTTAACATACTTTTTCTAAAAACAGATAAACCTGCATTGTCCTTTATTAATCCAGAAGTGCCCGATGAAAACAATTTTGATAAATTGATGAAAACATTTGATGGTTTTTCATTGAGTGCAGAATCAGACGTTTCCTTCACAGATGAATCAGATGTTCCAAAGACTACTAAATATGAGGTGAGCCAAGAGCCTATGTCTGTTCATCCTGTTGCAAATATCCTGTCCTTGTAAATTCATTTTTCAGTATATTCCCAGTAAAATCAGCTACCTGAGACATAGAATTCATATTATACACAAAACAACTTAATTTTGTTCCTATAAATCAAAGATCATGAAAGTTGAAGTTGAGAAGTTGAATTCTAACATAGGGTTTAACCTAATTTATTCTACGGTAAGTCTGCATTTGTCTTTGCAGAATTCTTTGTTCTTCTCCGCCTCAGAGGACACAGCAAAGTGCTGGAGGCGTGCTGCTGGGAGCCGCAGCAGGGGCGGGGTGCCTGGTCCTCTCCTCAAAGCTGTACTTAGCTTTACAGACTTAGAAAAGATGCATGCTGTTTCATCTCTCTCCCTTGGTAAACCTTTCAAAGTGATAATCATTAACTTTGACCAAACTTCGGGATTTTCAGAAGCATCTTTTTAAAAGAAATATAAAACCTCATGGGCTAGTCTAAAATATCAAACATTCAGGTGTGTAGGTAGAGTCAGAAAGGCCCTCCTCCATTAAAACCACACACTGCAAATCACTGTGGAAGCCTTGGTGTGAGTCCCGATTTTAAGTGCATCTATTAAAATGTACTCGTAGTATTGTGCAGAAGTGGGATGCGTGCTTGTCCACATTGTTCTATGCATTTCCTTTTTCATTTAGTGATAATTCGTATGCATCTTCCCCTGTCAATATAAAAGGGGCATTTTCCATGTGTCGGCCACAACACAGAGCTTCCTAGGCATTATCCCACACAGCCTAGAGAGGAACACACACCACTGTCCCCACATAACTGATATGAAGAACGTAGTGCGCCTGCACTGGCTCTGAAAGGAACTTGTCAGAGCCAGCGTTGGAGCTATGTTTTACTGATACGTTTTCCTTCTCTCCCTACATCATTTATTATTGAGGCATTCTACTAACAACAGACATCCATTTCCAGTTTTTACTATCATCAGTAACCCACGATGAACATTTTTATAGATACATGTATCTTTGGTTAAATCCTTAGGGTATGTTCCCATAGATGGGTTAACTCGGTCAGAACAAGTGGTGGTTGAAAATATCGATACCAGGTTGCCCTGCAGAGAGATGGCAGGCGTTTCCACGCTGAGCTCCAGGGAAGGAGAGGGGTTGTTTCCACACCCCATTGCTGGCATCAAGGCCTTTGGATACCTTTAAAGTCAAGAAAATCAGCTGGAGACCCAATAGCTGTATATTGCTGTATATTTTGTTTTGGATATTGGGGAAAATTTTTATGGGGTTTGGCTTTGGGAAGGAAGGCATATATCAATATAATGATATTAATGTGCGCTGTATCTGTTAATCAAGTAAGTGTTGCTAGTGAAAACTAATTATCCCTCAGCCCTGTTCCTGGCCACTGAGTTCCTCTCTGCAGAGGCAGGGGCCTGGGGCAGCTTCTTACGTACCCTTCCAGAGGAGTTCTTTAATAAAAAGGCGTGCACATGCAGCCATATGGGTGCACAGAAATGCGCAGCCTTGAAAGAAAAGCGAGGCGGGCAGCTAGATGGCAGCCCGTGAGGGCAGGGACCATATTTGGCTCCTGCCCCTCACGGTGCTCCCGGGGCCTGGCATGCTGCCTGGCCCACGGCAGGTGTCCGGTGAGTGCTCAGTGAACACCTTAAGAACAGCGTGACCACTGTCAGTCCTTCCCTCCGCAGTACGGAGCTGTCCTGCAGACTTCAGATGCATTTCTGAGACTTCCTTCTCCCCTCACATCGTCTCTGTGCACCGATAATAACCCCGCAGGTAAGGCGGCAGGCAGTCTTCTTTCTCCCTAAGACAGTGTGCTTAGTTTGACTTCATAGCTGTCATAATTAAACAGGCTTCATGATTAGAAACAGAAGAGGCTTCGAGTTGAGAGGAGCCTCAAAAGTTGTGTAGTTCAGAGCCAGAATCTTCTCCACCAGGGCAGTCGCTGCTTGGGCGCTTGTAATGATGGGAACTCCCCACCTGAAGCAGCCCACTCGCCGTTTAAGACTTCCAGTGGCGGGGACGTTCCCTCCTCACTGGAGCCAACGTTTGTCAATAGCTGACATTTGTTAAGCATTCACTGTGTTTTAGGTATGATTTTAAGTGCCTCTAAGGTAGGGTTCTTGTCATGGTTTAGATGAGGAAACATCAGCTTCTTGCGCAGGGTCCCTTAGGTGGTGGTGGAGCGGGGAGGCAGCCCACGCAGCTGCCTCCCGCGGGCCCTGCTGCTGCTTTCAGAGGCGCCGCAGGGGCGCGGTCCTGGGGCAGAGCAAGGCAGCTGGCCGGGCTTGCCTGCCCTTAAGCCAGCCTCACTGGGAAGAAGCCAGCTAAGGAAGGGATGATGGCCTGTGGCTTCCTGAAGCATCCTTGACACATGAAGGAAAATGGGTTCTGCTGAAAAGATGCTTAACCTTGTTCACAACAGGACCAGTGTAAACGAAAACCAAACTGAGAGGCCACTTCCACCTAATGGACTGGCAAAGCTTGGGAAAAGGAGGGCTGGGGGGCAGGAGGCGCCCCCCTGCAGAGCTGGTGGGCCAGTAAATTGGTGCACCCTCTGCGAAGAGCAGTTTGACAATATGTATGGAAACCGCGAATGAATGTGCCCTTCGACCCAGCTGTTCTACTTCTAGGAGTTGGTGCCACAGAAGTTCTGGCCCAAGTGCAAAATAATAGATTGTAGTATTGTTTGTGACAGCAAAGCTAGAGACGACTCCAAGTGCCCACCTGGCTGAATAAAATATGGCATACCTATAGTGGAATATTAATTATTCCTTAAAAAGGGAGGAGGAAGCTCTTCATGTACTGAGACAGGCTGAACTCCAAGGTATGTTGTCCAGTGAAAAAAACCAAAGGGCAGAATATATATTGCGTATTTGTTTCCAAAAGAGGAAAGAAATACTAAAAATATATCTACACACACTTTCATTTGCATAGAATATTTCCAGAAAGATACACAAGAAATTTCATGCTGATTGTCTCTGGGGGACCAGGGAACAGGGGCCTGAAAGGGACTTCTCCCAGTACCCCTTTGTGCCTTTTGAATTTGAATCATGAGAATGTATTACCTTTTTGAAAAACAATTTTTAAAGCCTATTTTAAACATGTTGTATATCTGTGTCATAATTTACTTTGTGGTTTTACTTAGATTACAGTTAAAAAGCTGTAACCTAACCATTGAACAGTTGAACATTTTCTTCTCTTTTTAATTTTTTTCCCTGTGGGATGTTATGACTTCCAGCATTTTTGGTGAACCAAGCCGTTAAGTGCACCAGAAGGATAGACTTGGAGCAGTGTGAAGACATCGAAGCCCTGGGCATGGCTTATTACTGCAGCCCTCAAATTTTGAGGGTAAGAACTATTTTGAAGTGAAGCCAATTTGTTAGGTTTATTTTCTGTCCTTTGAACCCTTTTTAAAAGATGATAAGTCTTTAATAAGGCGAATATGCCCTTCAACCCACACTCTGAAAAAAGCAATAAAAATGCTTTTTGTTGTTGTTGTATTTAACAAAACTTGTTGTTTTCTTTTTTTTGTCTAGGTACCTAATTCAAAAACAAAGGTAAGAGTATTTCTTAATAGAAAGTTTGTTTATGATATGCTGTCTTATTTCTGAGCCTTTTGAAATGAATATATTTGTGATTAGAAGGGTATCTTATTGCCAACAACGAAAACATTTGTCAGAAAGCAAGCAGAAATAAGATAGGGAAACTCCTCAGTAGACGAGCCTTCTGCAGTCCCAGATTGGTGTGGTTGCTGTCTGTGCCTTCCTGGCCGCCCTTGGTGTCTTCTGGTCTGCTGTCACGACAGCTGGCTAGCTCCCGGATGCTGTCTGGCCAGTGTGGAAGGTGTAGACATGTCCCCAGAGAATGCACACACCTGGGTAGGAGGTGAGTGTTCTCAGTGTAGCTTCCGGGGTGGAGCTGCAGGTAGGTTCTGTTCCAAACCTTGTCGCTGCCAGCCCAGGGGCTCTGCCAGGCTACAGTGAGGAGGCCCTCGTCTCTGTGAATGTGTCCCAGAGAAGGAACGTGAGTCAGCCTCCTATCCTTGGGCCTGTGCGCTCTGCCTGCCTGTGAATGCGGCAATGGCCTTGTCATACCCTCTCTGAGCATGCAGGGCTGGCCTGCCTCGTTCAAAACTCAGCTTTGCCATTACTTTCTTGTGTAACATGCACCTCAGTCCCCCAAAGTGTCAAGCGGGTGATGAGCCTTGATGCACATGACGTGCTCTGTGCGGCATCTGGCACACAGGAAGCACTCGGGACAGTGACCCCTCCTGCGTGTGATTTCATTAAGTCTCTGGACACAAATATGTTTGAGGTCGATATTTGAAAGGAAATAGTCATGTGGCTTTGAACCTCACACGACTGTGTGCGGGCCTGGCCTTCCTCACCAGTGAAGGTGTTTTCAAACGTGTTTTAGTTATAGGGCTTCTTCAAAGGAAATCTCAAGTAGAATTCTTTCTAGTGTGTAACGTGGGTTGAATCCAGAGCCCCCGGGTGAAGTTCAAGTTTGTGCTCTGAAAGAGAAGCTATTAACTAATATCAGAGGTTTCTTTAAGTTGGTTTTTTTTTTTAAAAGCAACTTTCATGCTGTGTTAGAGAACCAGGAAAACAAAATTTGGATCCAGTCTCCCCATTTAGTGAAGCCCTTTATGGTCGCCTGGAATCATGGTCAGTATCCGCAGGACCCTCAGTGACAGGTTAAGTTCCGGCCCTCTGGTTTCATTGTTAAGTACGGTTAGTCCTTTAGTTCACGGTGGGATATGACTGAATGGGACACGTGGGCCACCAGGACAGCCCTACTACTCCCATTCCTTGGCTGTTGCCGTGGCTGTGGGTGGACCAGGGCAGCCGCTGCCCTGTCCGTCGGTCTTTCCAAAGCCTGTTGGGCCTGGTGGTGTCCGCCCACTACACCCGCAGGAATGGTCCCTCAGAGGCCGGGATGGAAGTGTGCACACCCTCCTGGAACCCGCTGTCACTGTGGAACCAGGGGTCTGTTATGTCCAGATAGAGGGACCCGGGCTATCTTATGTGGCTTCAGATCTAATTAACTTGTAGCATGGGACTCCCTCTGTGACTCTTAAACCCACTGGTGTGGCTTGTCATGCGGAGGGCATTGTGGTCGTTGGTGTTGTCCGTCTGCCAATTTGTCATGTGACGGCTCAATTTTGCTTTCACACCATGTCACATTCTTATATGAGCGGTTTGACTGATAAGGACAGTTGCAGGTCATCTTGGTCATGGGAGCAGACACGTAAGAACCGCTTATTTATCTATAAGATGACAGCTTAAATATTTAGTCATTTTGAATTATAAACAGCATGGCACATGATCGAGGGCTAAGTTCAAAGCCATAGAAACACATGGACAACTGGATAGGGTGGTTTCTAAGAGCTGACATTTACAGCCAATGTCATACTTGTCTCACAAAGAGGTCCAACTAGAGGTTCAATGCATGTAAAGAATTGCCTGCTGTTCTGTTGCTCTGCTGGCAATGGCTGTAAATGAAAAAGGTCGTTTATTAGCATTGGGTGCACTGGGGCTTCCTGATTGTGCCAACAGACTCGTCTGCCTTCTCTCACCCATGATCCCACCAGTGCGTGTGGGTGTCGGTAGCAGTTGTGTATAAATCGGGCCAAGTGTATAGACAGGGAGTTTGTGGGGGTTGGGGATGTGCACGTGTTTGTGCAGAGCGAGTGCGTTTAGCAGCAGGAGCTGTGTTCTGAAGGTGAGTGTATACATGGTTTGATGTGTGGTGAGTTTTGCGTGTGTGAGACATAATTCACGTACCATAAAACTGACCATTTTAAAGTGTGCAGTTTAGTGGTTTTTAGCATATTCACAAGGTAGTGCAACCATCACCACTATCACCAGAACATTCTCAGTACTGCAGTGAGAAACCCTGAGCTCATTAGCAGCCACTCTTCCTTCTTCCCCAACCCCTCCCTCTGTCCCCGGCAACCACTCTTGTACATTCTGTCTCCATAGATTTGCCTATTTTGGACATTTCATATCAACGGAATCATACAATATGTGGCCTTTAGTGTATGGTTTCTTTCACTTAGCATCATGTTTTCAAGGTTCATGTATGTTGTATGGATGAATAATATTCTTTTGTATGAATATACCACATTTTATTTATCCATTCATCACTTGAGGTACATTTGGGTTGCTTTCAGTTTGTGGCTTTATAAATGCTTCCATGGACATTTGTGAATATATAGATATATATTTATATATATATATACTTATATATATTTTTTTACATATAATATCTGTATTTTCACAAATGTGGAATTACAGAGTATGGCTGTTGTCCTGTAGCAAGCTTTCCTGATTTGGCAGTGTATTAGTGGAGATTTCAAGTGTTTTGTTATTGTAACCGGTTCGCCTCTGTTGTATTGGGTCTTCAGTAATGCAGGACTGTTTCACTTGGCAGGTCCCTATCACTGTTCAGTCCATCATCATTCAGTCGCTGAATAAAACGCTTGCCCGCCTGGAAGATGCTGGCGTGTTGAAGCAGGCCCTGGTTGGGGCCGGGCCCGATCAAGTCTGCACTCGTGTCGTCCTGGAGGTAGGTGCCCAACTGGGCTCTGAGAGCTCCATCTGTTCGTGGCAGACTCAACTGCGTGGTCCCTTGGGGTGTAACTGTGGATGCCCCCGAAAGGGGCTATGGCCACTGAAGGTGTTGCTCTTCCTGACTTGGCCTCCTGCCTGCTTTCCTGCTGTCCCATCAGAGGATGCGTCTTTGTCTCTGAAATAGTCACCTGTGCTTTTTCTCCATCAACCTGGTGACTTATGAAAATACATCAAAATATGTTGCTGTTGCCATTGTTTTAATATATTTCCTCTGCAGAGACAGATTGGTTATACTGCCCAGACCAGCTTATTGGAACTTATGAAATTGGGTACAGAGAGGCTCAAAGGACCCTGTTTGTCAGCAGGCGTGATGCTGAAGTAGCGCCTCCTGTAACCGGCTCGGACACGAGAGGAGAGCTTCGAAAGTGGCAAAACGGGAAGGCGTTTCCCTCCAACATATGTTCTGTTTGAGTTATGAATACAGCTACAGAAAGGTCATGGGAACAGGTGCATTTGGAGTGTCATTTTGTTTCTAGGTGAAGTACAGGCTCACCTACACAGATGCAGGTGAAGTGACAAAAGCCGACCTCTCTCTCCTTCTGGGCACAATCAGCAGTGCCACGGTGCCATTCCAGCAGAAGTTTGAAATTCGCTTTATTCAGGTAAGTTTGATCCATTTTGTACAAGTATGTAATTGCCAAGTAAAAGGAAATCCTAACTTGTTAAGAAAAAAATAATCTCAGTTTAGAAGCATGAGCACGTCCAGCCCCTTGTACGGCACGGAAGCTCGCCCTGAGCGTGCGGAGACTGTAATGACCCGGGCAGAGGCCTGCGTCCTTTCCCAGTGCGGACCGAGGTTCCTGGCATGTGAGCTTGCTCTTTACAGCATGATGTACTCCTACACTCCGCAGATATATTTATAGTTCTAAGTAGGGGAGAAATTCTTTTATTGGTCGATAATCCTAGATTTTATTATGAAAAGCATTCATTTACCTGCCTGCCACTTCCTTTTAAAGTGAGTATTACTTGAGGACGTTTCTGCATTGTCTTTCAGCAAAATACAAAGCCAGTTCCTCTCAGTGGAAACCCTGGTTATGTCGTGGGCCTCCCGCTAGCTGCCGGATTTCAGCCTCACAAGGGATATCCTTTTGGGTCCTGTGCAGGGGGTTGAGTTCCCTGTCCTTGTGTGTGGACCGCACTTCGCTTTAGCACTGTGGGTCCTGTGGGCTGGAGAGACCAGTCTCCGCCAGAGCTTCCTCTGGTGGCTCTGGTTGGGGAGGGTCTGGCTGCACAGCAAGTGGGGCTCCTTGGAGACCTGAGGTTGGTGGTGAAAAGGCGTGACCCAGGAAAATGTCATTGTTTTATAATGAAAATCTTAACACAGAAAAGCTGACAGACATTTAGGTGTATTTAATTTCACAGAGACTCAAAGTTAGTGACTTTGACAACTTGGAATTAAATTTGAAGGGCCAGTTCCTGAATATTCTTTCCTCTGAGGACCGGCTGATCAAGGAAGATATAACTGTTATGACCCTCTCCTGGGAAATAGGTGTCAAAGTCCCAGAGGCCCTGAGAAGAGATATTTGGGTCACATTCAGGTCTCATGTCACACATGTGACCCTGTTTCCTGAGAATCAGACTGCTGTTGTACTGGGCGGCTATCCCTTAACGCTCTGTGAAGGTCTGGGATCATTCAGACCATGAATAGATATGGACAACTTACTATCCTTCGCAGCACAGCAGAGCAAGACTGCTTAGCAGTGGAGGGGATCCGGACCCCCGTGTTATTTGGTTACAATATGCAGTCTGGCTGTAAACTAAGGTAAGGGAGTTACTTGTTTCTATTGGAACTTGTTTGGGTTGATCAGAAAACAAAACATTCCTGCCCTTCCCCACACCTGCCCCTGCCCCCAGTTAATCAGCCACCTGCATCAGCTGACAAGTGCCTGAGAAAGCCACAAGGTGCCTTATTATGATTATTAATAGGTAGTAGCATTAGTAACAATACCCTACAGTTTTTTTTTTTCAAATCTTAAGTCTCAGAACCATAAACCATATATCTTGGTTCAAAGGAAAACTGTTACAATTATTTTTAAAAATCTCAAGGCTTTGTATGTTTTGTTTTTAAGGTTGCATAGCACTTGAGTTTACAGCAAAAAATACTTTTCCTGAAAGTCCTTCATATATTTCTGAATTTTAATACACTACACACAACAAACCCAATGAGAAGCCTGAATGTGATGTTTTTAACTTCTCTTTTTATCATCAAACATGTATATAATATAACGTGTCAGATAGCTCTGCATGGCTTGTTGTAAAAATGGCAATTCTTACCCTTACTTGCCCACCCCAGAGGCAATCATTTTTAATTCTTGTAGCTGATTTTTTGGAAATTTACCCCCAAATCTTTAAACAACCCGCATATAATATTTGTTGATATTTTAGTTTTATAGATTATTTCTAGAGTTCCCACTGTGAAAGAGGAAAAGTTGGCTCTTGTCCCTGCCACCCTCTACCCCTCCATCCACTCGCTTCCCAGCCTCACGTTTCCCCAGGCTACTTATGTCCTGATTTTGCTTAGACCGATATTCACCATTTACATGGTTAGTTTTGATCACTTTAGACCAGCATGTCTCAAAGGGCGTTCTATGGAATACATTTCCACAATATGTAGGTAGGGGTAGGTCTACAGTCCAATGTGTTAGGGAAATACCAGTTGAAGTTAAAAGTGTGATTCCTTACTGTAGGACCTCTCAAAGCCCCTGATATGCCTCAGGAGGGACACGGGCATGCAGCGCTGCCCACACTGTTGGCCGTGGAGCCCTTCTTGCACAGAGCCGCCTGATGAACACAGTTTGGGAAACACTGTTTTGGATGCATCTCCTTGGCCAACAAAGAGTTCTCAAAGTTAGAGGCACTGTGGGTTCTTTCAAACAATCCCCCGTTCGGAGAGTAAGAAAATACACAGGCGAGAGCGTGCACACTGTTGAGGCCTGTGAAAAGTGCTGGTATGAACAACAGCCTCCCTCGATTGACCTCTTTCTCCTTCTCCAAAGACTGACTGGAGCCATCACGTGCCCGCTTGTCGCGGAGAAAGTGAGGCGCCTGCTGAAGGGCCAGGGCTTCCCAGATTACGTGGCTCCCTTCGGAAATTCCCAGGCCCAGGATGCGCTGGACTGGGTGCCCGTCCGCTTCGTCACCCAGGCACCCCACATGAAGGTAAATGGGAGGAGTTGAAGGCCACATGCTGGTGGCCTCTCCTTCCACCCTCCCCCTCCCCGTGGGAGGTAGATGGCTCTGGGTGGGAACCTGGACTTTGTTGTCAAGTGGGCCTGGGTCTTGAATACTGATTTCGTCCCTTGTTAACACTGTTGCCTGTAGCCACTGATTTTATGGGTTTGGGCGTTTCCTCATCTGTGAAAGGGAAATGACAATAATAGTCTGATGGGGCTGTTAACAAGGTAATTAATATTCAGGGAGCCTGCTGGTCACTCCATAAGTGGGAACTGCCACCTATCACCATCCCGACCACTCCTGCTGTGGCTGTTGGTGTTGCGTGACGCCTCTCTCTAGGCACTGAGCTAGGGGATGGGTATGAGGACTGTCTCCGAGGGACAGAGACTTCCCTTCCTCCCAGTGTTCCCTGGTTGGAACAGCAGCCCACGTGGGAGAGCTTTCAACTCCAAGTTCTCAGGAGTTTAATGGAAGTTGACACCCTACAAATAGGTTCCTGATCACATGGGACTCCTCTGCCCACCTTTCCCTTTTGTCTCAGCAGTCAGTGTGGGCTGGCCCCACCGCTGGAGGCGTGCTCTCCCTCTTATCCCTTAATTGCCCAGCTTTGTCTCTCACTGTTTCTTCAGGCCTTTCATTATCTGCTTAGCATATTTATAGCATGGGGACAGTGGGGGTGAGCCGCCTTGCCCTTCCCGCAGAGCTGGTGGTGGTTTCGCTGTCCCTGCTGTTCCGCTGCTAAGCCCTGGCTCAGCCCTGCCTCCTCAGTGCACCCACCTGGCAGATTGCTTCTGGCTTCTGGGCGACGGGTTAGGGCATGCAGTTACTGGGTCCCCTTCAGGAGGAGAAACAGAGGTTAGGAGGCGAGGCAGCAGTGGGGGCTTCAGCTTTGCCGGGGTCTCTGCTGGTCCAGGGAGCTCAGGAAACCGCTCAGGAAACCCACGACGAAGTGACATGAAAGCCTAGCTCAGCTCAGTCACACTGGCTGCGTGTCACATCTTCTCCTAATAATAGGGTGGGTATTCAGGGATGTTTCAGCCTGCCAATTGCTTAAAAGGCAGGTGCAGGCTAAGGAATTCCACTGGTGCCTTTTTGGCAGGCCCCAAATTTAGCAGGCCTGCTAGCTTCTCATGCCTTGAAGAGATGTGTTTTTAAAAACCTGTTATTGTGGAAATTTTTCAAACATACACAAAAGGAGAATAATACAGCGGAATCCCTTCTGCCCATCCTGCGGCTTCAACAGTTACCACAAGGCCGGCTAAAGAGGCCTAAAGGCAGGAAGAAGATCGGGAAGGCCCACTCCTCCATTTCCCCTCGGGGCCTGGGCCCAGCTCCTGAGGCTGCGCCAGAACTGGGTGGCCCGACTGTGGCAGCAGCGCTCTGGGGTCCCTGTGGGGGGTTGGCGGTGTCCTTTAACAACTCGCATGCTCTGCTTGCACCCCAGTGTGGCACCTGAACTGCCCGCCGATGAAACCAGATAAATGAAAAGCAGACACATTTCCTCTAAGTGCATTTTAACACGATATGCAATCAGGTTTAATTTCTATTAAGATGCCGTCCTCTCCTCCTCCTCCCCACCCGAGGCCAGTTTCCCGCCTGAAGCACCTCCTGGGTGGATGTCAACAGGTAGGAGAAGCTAGAGCAGGGGAGGCCCTGCGGGGTATTGGGCTAATAACTCCCAGGTTGTGCTGGCCTCTTTAGACTTAGGAGGAATAAGAGGGAATGGAAAAATGGTGCTTTAGGTGTTAAAATATTTTTGGAGCATTGAGTACTTTAAAATATGTGCTTTCTCTAAGCAGTTTTTATCTTAACTTCTTAAGTCTATTCATTCCCTTGTTCAGAACATTCTGTAATATGTGACATTTTATAATTAAAAATGAACTTCAGATTAAGTTGGACTTGAGGCTGTGTGATATTCCAACCGATTAACGGCATTTTGTTTTGCAGGATTCTTGCCAGCTCCCAGTGGCTTTGGTTATAGAACTGAAGTGGACCAAATACGGATCCTTACTGAACCCACAGGCTAAAATAGTCAACGTAACTGCCAATCTAATTTCCTCCTCATTTCCTGAGGTAGGCCTAACGTTAGTTCCAAGGTATAGGTTAAGACACCAGTCCAGACAAAACGCAAGTGTGATAGTAAACTTTATTATTTTGTGAAAAAGATTATAATGGAAACACTCTGGAGTCCTAAAGCAGCGTAGCAGTCATCATCTTTCCCGTAGAGCAGCCTCCACTGATGATGGCTTTATTCACAGCAGCATTCTCGTTTAGATTTGCTCTTTTACCTTCTTGTGAAAAGTGAGTTGTGATTGACATTAATGTGTTCGTTAGGACAACCTGGGTTAAAATTCTCTCTCCCCCCGTGTAAGTGGCTGATGAGCCCTCCACGTACCTATCAAACTCGTGAACTGACTGACAGTGATCGGAGAGGACAAGAATGAAAGATGTCCGTCTCTGTGACCCTGGGACCATGCAGGGTGGCAGGGCTTGCCTCACTCTGACTTCTTCTTACAGACCAGCTCAGGAAGTGAAAGGACGGTTCTCATTTCCACTGTGGTTGCTTTTGTGGATGTGTCTGCACCTGCAGAGGCAGGCTTCAGAGCTCGGCCAACCATCAATGCCAAGCTGCCCTTTAATTTCTTCTTCCCGTTTGTTTGATGTAAGTTGTTAATTAAGGAAACGAGGCCACACCTCCAGAATAGAGTGGGTGCGGGCCTCAGAGATCCCGTTTCATTATACTGCTAGCTCTGAGGTTGCCCCCAAACCAGTACACCTCCCCTCTCCGCTCATTTCTCTCCTTTCGGAAATTTTATTCTACTTGGTTTGACTTCAGAATGAGCACCATCTGATCTTGGTCATATGTGGAAACCAAATTGCACCTTTGGGAAGACAGCAGAGAGAACAGACAGCGAAGTGGTGCAGGCGTTGAGCGTTTATCCAGGTTCCTCATCCCCTGCCTCAGTGCAAGTTTTTGTTAAAATACTCACTGTGTTTGGTTCAGGGCTTCTTTCCTTATCAGGTCCCATTGAAATGAGTACAAAAATAGTGAAATACTGTATAAGTTCATGCAAGTAGAATACAAGGCCTCAGGAGCGGATCTTCCCCCAAATGTCACGTTAATTACAGTGGCGTCTTGGGTCCAATTGCCATTTCTGTACCCGGCACTGTCGCTAGCTAGCTCTCCCAACTGGTGAGCTGGTGTGGATGCCATAGAGCAGTTCCAAGCAGCTGAAGCTGGAAAGAATGTAGGAGGGCCCACAGGGAGAAGAGAGTTTATTTTATACATTAATTGTACAGTAATTGAGAAAAATGTTGTCAGGTGCAGATCTAGGCGGAGCCTCCGGGAAGCTGGGTGCTGCAGCTGGATGGGTATCGGAGAGCGGTCTCCCTGGGGAAAACTGCCACGAGACAAGCTGTTTAGATCAGCTTAGAAACAGGAGAGGCTTTTCTAGAATGGGCTGATAGCAGAGATGGCTTCCTGTTTTTCCTTGTCTTTCAGAATGCTCCTATGAAAGGATGCCTCAGTATCCACGCGAACGGTGGAAGCTGTACACTTGATGAGATTAAGGTTTATATACAACTAGTAACTGTCCAGCTTTGCTGTACATTTTCAAGCAAGAGTGAAGTATTCAACATGAGAAAACAGCTTATGGTACATGTATGATACAGTGCAAGTGGGAATGGGATGGGAAGCTCTCGGCCACACCAAGGAAGAGAGAGAGCCTTCCGGAAGACTGTGTCCCCCCGGGATCCAAGCGGCGGCGCGGAGGCAGGCAACGGCAGCAAACCAAACCTGTCCTGCAGACAGCCGCGGAGGGGCGGCCGTCGTCCTCGTTCACAGGCACAAGCCCGTGAGGAGGGGTCTCCTCTTCCGGGTGGAGCAGGTGCGCCTCTAGTTCACCTGCCCGAGAAGTCCGTGCTGTTGCAATAGCTTGTTAAGTCTTTCGATCTCTTGTTCCTGTTAATATAAAAGCAGACAAATAACTGCATTTACCTTCGGAGCCTCACCAGGGACGTGACCGCCAGTGAGCCCCAGTCCAGGGACGCAGCACTGAGGGAGGACTATGCTCTTTGTGGCACCAGCCCGCTGAAGGCGGCTGCAGTATAGTCAGGTGGGCTCCAGTGGACAAGAGCAGTGACAGGAGGGGCGCCTGGCCCAGCTCGGGGGAGGCAACACCTGAGTGACCCTTAAAGGACAAGGAAGACTTAGCCAAGGGGTGGGGGCTCGGGCGAAGGGCGCGCAGGAGCGAAGGCCTGCCCTGGGAAGCCCGTGCTGAACGGCAGCTCAGCCAGAGGCGTCTTCCAGGGGGCCTTCCTTACCTTCTCGGAGCAGCTGAACTCAAGGTGTTGGATCTTGGCGGCCAGTTGCATATTTATTTGTTTTAACCTTAACAGTTGCCGTTCTGAACGTGTCTTGACCGAAATAATTATCCCTGAAAAATAATTGAGGGTCTTAATGATATTCGTTTCTAATTTAACCATTTGATAAGAACAAAAAACAAACCGTGTGCTCCTTGTAAATGTGTAGAGTTGGGAAGAGTGGTGACAGACAAGTCAAAGAGTCACCGCTTAAAGGTGTCAGAACTGCAGGGTCGGAGCACTGCCGAGCCGCTGAGCCGTCGTACGCACAGAACCCGCAGAAGGACAAAGCCGGGGGTGCTCGAGCCTGGCGCTGCGGCTGTCGCTTCCCGGCGCTGCCCCCCGCCGGCTGTGGCTCGCTTAGTTGTCAGGCTAGAACCTAAGTCATGGCTGACAGTTGCGTCATTGGTGGCCTCACCTGACGGCTCCCCAGTGCCCACACTGCGGGGCGGGGGGCCCTGCCTCAAAGGACAGTGCCGCAGCTGGGGACGCTCTGCCCCTTTCCAAGCAAGAGTGACCGAGTCTGGACCCATTACCCACGTGTGCGGTGCCCACGCGGCCCGGGAGCAACGGTCCCTGATCCCCCCCCCCGTTCTTGGTTGTCTCACTGAATCTGCTACAGCCTTGTGTTGCTTTTTCAGACCTTTCATGTCATGTCACGCTATTTGGCAGTGATGTAATAGGTTTAGCCCATCCTACGTCCTGCTACCGTTTAGACAAAGGAAACGAAATCTCAGACTTTTGGTTTTGTATACGAAGACAAATCTCACCATGGTAGTGATGGGTAGTAACTGTGGTTATGAGTCCTTTACAAAAATCAGTAATGGTTTATCTACCTCAATTGTGTATAACCTCTGTACAGAGTATTTTTCTGTCTGATTAAGGAAATAATGAATTACCATAAACATCATCAATTGTATCTGAAAATCCTCCTTTATTTCCTTTGACAGGATCCAAATGAATGTTCTCAATGGGCTTTATTTTAACCACTAGGTCTGAACTGGCCCCTGAAGCCCCCAGTGTCCCCAGGCAGAGCCATTCATGCAGGCCCGTGTCCCAGCAGACACGGCCCTTCCCCTGCCTGGCCTCGCCGCAGCCGAGCGGGCTCCGGGCTCCGGAGGCCGTGACAGGACTCACGGCACCACCAAGGGAAGGAGCTGCACATCAGGGGCGGGCCTGCCCCCAACGGGCCCACTGTCACGAGCTCATGTCTCTTGACAGTCACCCACAGCCTGTCATGTTGGGCCCTAGCCTAGGGATTCCCAGACCTGGCTGGGTACCCAAATCACCGGGCAGCGCTTCAAAGGAGACACCCTGCTTGGGCTCCACCCCACACCTCTGCATCAGACTCAGAAAAAGCACTCACTGACGGGGATTCTGACACAGCAGGTCTGCGGCGGGCATCCGAGCATCTGAGCATACCTGCACCTGAACACTTAACCAACTGGTGATCACTATGTCACGTGCAATCCCAGCAGAAACGTGGCTGCTCTGAGACAGAGGCGCCCTGCACAAACGGAGTGTACCAACAAGCACTACTTCCCAGAGTCTACAGTGCATGTTACGACCCCAGAAGGTGTCAAGTTGGTCAATTCGGGGAACATTCCAGCTCTCAGAGCCTTCAGCATGCTAACGCCTGCTGTGATTTTGAAGGGGGCGGAACCTAGTGTACAATGTTTCTCAGCTTCCTTGCACCTCTTTTAGGTGGTGCCCCTCCCAAGGTGGGGTAGGGTTTGATAAAACTCTCTTCAGGGATTAGCCTGAACCTTTCTGTAAATGCCCAACAATCTAGGAGACGGGATCTACAAGAGAAAGGTAGTTCCTCTCAGAGCACATGTCTTGGTGTCAAGTCGTAGCCGCAGAGGTGGCGGTGGGACACCAAATCAGCCCACTCCCCTTTCCTCTAGACTGCAGGGAGGAGGAAGCCTGTGTGGAAACCAGGGCCGGTGGCCTCTGCGCCCACCCTCTACCCGCCCTGCAACCCGGTGCGCAGGGGACGAACCGTTGATGATCCGGGCCACACGCCACAGCCGGAGTAGAATCAGCAGGCCCAGGGCCTCAAACTCATGCTCCCGGAACAGGAGGACGATGTCGAGGACGAACGAAACTACCACCACGATGGAGTCCAGGATTTCAAACTTGTGGTGGAAGAACTCCAGGCGGAAAACAAATATTTTAAAGCTGATCTCCATCATAAAGAAGGTCAAGATGGCTATGCTCAGGTAGTGGAACACCTGAAGGGGACAAGGAAGCGCAGTGAGAGCAGAGCCAGCCTGGCACAGGTCACACAGACCCGCTGGCCTCGAGTGCACCTGCCAGGCCATCAGAAAGAGGTTGCACTCATCGACTGAGCCTGAGCTCAAGCCCCTGCCAGCAGAGGCCCTGTTCTTAGGCTGCCAACCAGCGGGGGCACCTCCGACATGGCTCAGCTCTGCTCTTGGAAGGACAATTAGGCGATGGCAGCACTGAAAACAGCCACCACACCTATTGGCAGAGCAACACTGACCGAGCAGAAACCTTAACTTCTTTAATCTGGCCTTTTCCTTTGATTTTTCTTTTTTCTCCTTTGACTCAGACTGGCCTCATGCAGCCCCCTGACTCACCCACCTCCCTCGTGCTTGTTTACTCATTAAGCTCTCGGGATAAGGAGGTCCTGGTCAGCATCCGGTCACCCTGGGGACAAGGTCCTGGGTCTACTGACTCCAGAGACAGAGTTTTCAATCCAACTGGAGATAGCATCTTGGCCCCAGTTGTGGTTTAGCTCTGAACCCGGGGAAGCAGAATCATCTCACAGAACAAATCCTCGTGAAATCAGAGCGGTCCGTGGCTGACGTCAGGACCAGATACAATGACCAACTTCCCCCACCCTGGCACCACGCAGTCAGTAGGGACCACGACCCTAACTCCTTCAGCCACCATGATCAATGGCTTTTTCCCTGTGTAGTCCATCCCCTGGAAGCTACTGGGGAGCCAGGTCTTCGGGCGTTAGCATCCCCGGGACTCTGAGCACGGTGCCTTCTCCTTAATAAATCCTTCCTTTCCTGGCTGCAAATTCCTGCTCTTCTCTTCCTGGGCTTTGGGGCAGGCAGGCAAACGGACCCCTTCAGTCCAGTAATGGCACCACTGCTAGAAATTTATCCCGCACAAAACTCATGTGCACAAAGACATGTTGTAAGGGTACCTACTGCAGCATCACGTGCAAAGCAGATTTCTACACGTTTTGTAGAAAAATTGAAATATTCACTAGAGGGCAGGTGTCCAAATGCATTATGGCACCTCCCTAGGGAGCACTACACAATTGTTAAAAAGACCAAGGCCGATCCACATGGACTGACTAGCAATCATCACCAGGGTAGACAGTGAGTGACGAGTTGCTAGATCTCAATGTATCAATACTGGTCTGTACGAAAGTAGCAATTTCCATTCTGTAGCAGGGAAAGTTCAAAGTCAGCTAGGTCATCATCTTGGGCCTGAAAGCAAGGAAACGCTCAAGGATGGTAGATCTGTGTCCAAAGGACACAGCAGTCCACTTGAAAAGGCTCGCTGTGACCAAATCTGGGACAATTTGAATATTGAAAAAAATGACTATGATTGTAATACACTTGAGCACACACACACAAAAATCCACGAGTCCATAGTGAAGGGGAAAAAGAAGGAAGGCTGTTCCTTATAAAAGAACACGAACTATGTGATGTAGAAGGAAAGAGAATTTGAAAGCAGTTTGCACCCCCCACTGTATTGCCTGGTCAGCCAACGCTCATCAGTGGATGTTAATTGGTTATTAGATATTATGGAATTGATACTTTTTCAGGTGTAATAATGCTCTTATGGTTCTGTAAGAGAAAGACTTTCTTATGCATATCAAGGTATTTAAGGGTGAAGTGTTGTGATGTCTAACTTTCAAATGGACAGACAATAATATATGGGTGTGTTTGTGGACAGAGATATAATGCAAAGATAGCAAAATGTATATTTGCCATTGTTTCATAATAAAACATTGAGGAAAAAGAAAGGCACAAGACAGTGAGTATCACAGGTATATTAGTGATTCTGTTAGATAGAAGGAGAAAAAGGAAACTCATCCACCTATAGGAGGGCTGGGGCTGGCCGGCCACAGAAGAAAACAGCTGCTTTGGGAAAGAGGCCACGGATAGGAAGGATATTTATTTTCTTCCATCCCCTTTAACCCTTGAAAGGACGTTTCACATTATCAATTGAATTTTGTTTTTAAAAAGGGTGTGTCCCCAAGTTTTGTTTTAAAAAAATGGCTGTCTCAGCCCTGGCTAGTGTGACTCAGTGGATTGAACACCAGCCTGTGAACCAAAAGGTCACCAGTTCGATTCCTGGACAGGGCATTGGGGGCCAGTCCCTGGTTGGGGGTGTGAGAGATGCAACCAATTGATGTCTCTCTCCTCTTCCTCCCTCCCTCCCTCCCTCCCTCCCTCCCCCGTCTCTAAAAATAAATAAAACCTTTTAAAAAACATTTAAAAAAATAAAAAAATGGCCGTCTCCCATGTTGCTGACCATCAGCCACCCGTGGTGCCTTCTGGGGCATCCATTGCCCTGTGGATGAAGGCCAGGGAGGGACTTGGACAGGAACTGTGAGTCAGGGAATTGGCAGTGGCACATCCCCCAGTGGCTCCAGCCCAGGGACCCCATCAGCACATCCGAAGGAGAAACGGCTCTGCCATCAGAGGTGCACTCCGGCTCAGCGGTCCGGGATGGCTATCAAGTGACGCGAGAAAGTTTCCTGCTTGTCGTGAATGCTTATTTATAATTTGGAAAGGAAGACATTTCCTCTGCCCTTTGACCAAAAGCACCCAATCTACTTTCTCTTGGGGCCTCAAGGCGGGTGCTTTCTGCCCCACTCTGCCCCCTTAGCGCAGACAAGAGAGGTGAACGTATTAAAGGGCTGCTGGCAGCCTACCCTGACGGCGTAGTTGTTCTTGTCGGGCTGGATGATCTTCAGGTCCAGGATGAGCTCGGCCAGCACCAGGAGGGCGTCCAGAATGACCAGGCAAATGATGATGACCTGCGGACCACAGGAAGAGCGGGAAACCGTGAGACCAAGATGGAGTTCCGCCTCCTATCTTTAATTTTTTTTAATTGACTTTTTTTTTAGAGAGAGAGAAACATCAATTGGTTGTTCCACTTATTTATGCACTTATTGGATGCTTCCTGTATGTACCCTGACGGGGATCGAACCCACAACATTGGCATTTCAGGGCAATGCTCTAACCAAATGAGCTACCCAGCCAGGGCCCTCTTCCCATCTTTAAAGGGCTGGTTTGGAAACATCTGGATGAAACCACCAGGGGAAAATGCCAAAAATGGGAGGCTGCTGACCACAGCCCAAGCACCCTGCAGGGCGCCGCTGGGGGCCGGCTCCTGTCCACAGCGGCAGCAGAAGCCCCTCCGCCCGCTTGCCGCCTGCCTGGTCGGTCTGCCTCCGGCTGGTGCCTGTCCCGAGCGTGTCTGCACAGCTCACTTGCTGAGCCTCCGTCGCTACTCGTCTGTTTCCTACTCCTTCACTGCTTCTCAGCACCTCTCAAACCAAACGGCTCATTCCTACATGGCAAAAAATAGGTAATAAAAAAAGTTTTGGTACGTTTTTATTTTTCTAGTTCTATGACTTGCTCTTGCTAGGGTAAGCCCAGAAAAGATGCTCGGTAAATAATTAAAAACATCCAGCCTCAGAGATGGGAGCCGTGGACGGGACCTCCCGGAACTGCCCTCTGCAGGCGGCTGGGTCACAGCAATGCCCTCTGTGCACATAAAACAGCTCCGGTCCAGGGACCCGAGGTGCCTGCCTCCACGTGGAGGGAGAACTGAGAAGAGTTGTCAGAAAGACAATGTCGTGACCTGCTCGCAGAGGAGGCCGTCAGGGACTGGGGCAGAGTGAGTGGCGATCTCAGCAATGGCGGGGTGGAGATGGTGGTGTTCAGGGAGACCATGGGGACAACGTGGTGGTGATGGAACTGGCAGCACTGGGAGGAACCCCGGAGGACACCACGTGACTTTCTTCCTTTGGAAACTGGGGGCCCTCACTTGCTTCCGCCAGAGCCTTGCCCCTTGCGCTCTCCAGGGCACAGATTCCGGCCCCTGGCGGTTAATCTTGCCTTTACCTTGGCAGTTTCTGGGTGAAGTCCTACACGTTCAGGTCTATGTAAGAACAGACTACAAACCTTTTGACCACTTCAGCCTGTAGCTAATTATTTCAGTAACTAAATTAGCCTGAGACATGGTTTACTGTGAAACTGCATGGCAAATTGGTTTTCAATGGAGTTTTCACACATATCCAAATTCAGTGGCTTAATAAAGATGCAAGCTTTTCATAGGTATTTTTCCCCCTATCTTTTTTCCCCTTGGGTTTTTATTGTAGAGCAAAGAGATCTGATTTAAATCCAAGGGACGGAAATATTAAAAACAGACGACTATTCTGCCATAAAAAGAAATGAAGTAGTGATACGTGCTACAATGCGCATGAACCCAGAAAGCATTATGCGCAAATGAAAGATGCCAGACACAAAACACAATATGTATTGTATGATTCTATTTACATGAAATGTCCAGAACACGAAAACCAACAGACACAGAAAGATCAGTGGTTGGCGGGCTGGGAGGCTGTTGGTTACTGGGGATGGAGTCCCCTTTTCAGGGTGATGGAAACGTTCTGAAATGAGACAGTGGAGATTGTCGTGCGACAGGATTATTCACTTTGAAAGGATTAACTTTAGGCCGCATGACTCTCACTTCTGAAAAGAGGGACGGACAGACTCAAGGTCACAAAACTGCAACGTCCGGGTCCCTGCCCAGGCCTCCCTGACCTAAACCCCGTGACCCTGAATCTGCCGGTTCATGGGGCAGTGCTGCTTCTGAGGGGGTCACGCACACAGAAAAGCCCTGAGACGTCAGGGAGGCAGGTTTACTCCAAACACTCCCCTGGCAGAGACGGCCACCGCTGCGGCAGGGCGTGCGGTCTGCCTGCCGGCTACAGGGCGGCCGGTCCTGGGCCGGGCCCCGCCGCCCCCCTCCCAGGAGCCTGGACTTTGCACAGGGCCCCCAACGTTGCTGGGCCTCAGCCTGAGCTCTAAGCTCCGGTGTCCGCCTGAGGAAAACAGGGTTGGTCACATTGTCCCCTCAGAGCGACAACGGAGCGTCACACAGGACGATGAAAGGTCCTTAGCGCAGGGCCCAGCCACAGGGGGCCGGCAGTGAGAGTGAGGCTCCCCCACCGTCCTGCCTAGGGCCCCGTCGCAGTTACCCCGTCCATCCACGGTTTCCATGGAGGCCCGGCACGCCCTGTGTTTTCTCCCTTGGTTGTGCCATCCCATGTGAGAAGTGACAGCAGTAAACTATACATCATGTCACCTTGGCCGCCTCAAACCAGTGGAACGACCATCTAAGGAAGGGAGTCCAGAATTTTCTTGTATATCGATTCTCCCAGCAGAGATCAAACCCTTGACCCTATTCCCCCCGTGCTGAGGTGGACCCCCCGGCGCTACTCTGAGCCCCTCTCCAAATCTGGTCACATCACCGCCCTACCCCCGACATTTAGAACCTTCCAAGGCTGCCCACTGCCCAGGGATGATGACGTGCTGCGCCTCATCTCTTGCCAAGAGGTCCCTCTTCTCACCACACACATGCCCCGTGGACCCATCTCAAGTCCTGAACCGCTGCAGACACTGGCCACCTTGGGCCCTGAGCAACGTGGCCGTCTGCCTGGAAAGCTCCCCCTCCCATCCGTGGAGCTCACTCCTACCCAAGCTGCAGGTTTTGGGTGGAATGTCACCTCTTCTACCACAGTCCTCTGCCCCCCGATCCTAGGCAGGTCTCCCCGACCCCGGGACCCTCACAGACCCCTTCCGTTTGCCTGCCGAGGGCTTTGCTCCACTTGTGACCCGCATCTGTCTGGGTCATTTCCAGAATGACCTCCCCGCTGAGCATGGACCCTCTGTGTGAGTGAAGGCTGGGACATGTCCACCACCCTCGCCGCGGTACCCTGGCCTGCGCTGCCAAGGGACGATGGCTAAGTGAATGAATAAACATCTCTACTTATGGCAGTCAGTCTACTTTTCCGCCAGTACTGGTGTCTCTGGGGGCCCCAGCTCAGGGGGCCAGCCCAAGCCCCTGTGGCCTGATGGGCCCAGTGAGGAGAGGGGGGAACCTCCCAGAGGGGCGTGGTCCAGGGCTCCCCGTGCAGCTGGAAGGAAGCTGCCCCTTCCTTCTGCTCCTGAAATTGAGGGTTTGAGATTTCAAGCCCAACAACTTAATACCATGTTTCCTTTCCTGTCACAGCCACAGAGCAGAGCCCTATGCCGGGTTGCTGGGCCTGCATTCTTTCTCTACGCCACATGAAAGCGAAAAAAGCCCAAAATAAACTTTTCCTATTTTACCCGGGAACAAAGTCAGTGATGGGAGAGGCAAGGGCTGCTTTTCTCTGCTTCCAGAAAGGACATTGGCTCGTGGTAGGAACTGGATTATCTTGGTCCAGGGTCCCCAAAATGGCTTTACTTAGCAACTGGGCTGACAAGGGGCTGCATGCTTCCCCAGTGTCGCTGGGCCTCTTGCACTCTCCTGGGACCCAGACACGCTTCTGGGCACCTGTTTGCCCGCCGAGCTGGCCTGATTCAACCTGCATTTCTCCTTCAGAATCAGAAGACGTGAGGACAGATACTGAACTCTGCAGAAAGTTCCATTCCTTTGCTATTCTTTGAAGTCCACATCTGCCTGCCCTGGTCTCCCCATAACCACACCTGGAAGTCGGCAGTGTGTTAAGGCTGGCAGATCTTTTATGCATCACGCCACACAAGAAAAGGCTGAGGCCCCCCTGGTGATCAGTTGGTGAGGCATGCGACCCTCTTGGCCTTGGTAACTTGGGGCTGGCACAAAACATTTGCTGAACAAGTGCAGGAACATTTTTTCTGCCTTCAATGTTTACCCTTTAATTTACTTTGCAAGTGTATGTGTGGTACAATTTGCATAACATAAAATTTTAAGCATTTTAAAGTTGGCATAAAGTTTAGCAGCATTAAGTATATATCCCGATGGCTGTGGAACCATCACCACTATGTAGTTCTAGAACATTTTCATCACCCCAGATGGGAGCCCTGTATCCACTAAACAGTCACTTCCCACTCTTCCCTCCCTCCAACCTGAGACAGCCACCGTCCCACTGTCTGTCTCTACAGACTTGCCCGTTCTGCACACCTCATGTTAAGTGGGATCACTGAACACATGGCCTTTTCTGTCTGGCTTCTCTCACTCGGCATCCTGTTCTCAAGCCTCACCCACGTTGCAGCAGATGCCAGTGCTTTGCCCCTTTCTGTGGCTGAGTATGGACAGACCACACTTTGTTTACCCATTCATCAGATGACGGACCTTTGTATCATGACTAATTTAACCTCTGACAACATGGGACCTGCCCTGCATGCCCTGTGCTGTACAGGCGCGTGGCACATGGTCAGGGCTTAGGGGACATGTGCCCAATGAATGAGGCAGTGGCACCGCTGGGCCCCCACGCTGGCCTTGTGACTCTCAGCTGACAGCCGTGCCCCACCCCGGGCATCTCGGGACTGTGCCCACCTACCTGAAACCTGTGGGAGCTGAAGAGCTTCCTCAATGTGGCCCTGAAGTCTAGGGGGCGCCTGGGCGTGGAGGTGGGGGCCGCATGCGGGTCAGCAGCTCTGCCCTCCTCGCCCGAGGCGGGCGTCTGTGGCGGCTGCTCCTCCTCTTCCTCTTCCTCCTCTTCATTCTCCCATTTCTTGTAGTTGATGTTCCAGGCATGGTAGTCATCGCCGACAACGGTGAAGTGCTTCAGGAACTTGCTCATCCTCTCGGCGGGAGCCACCTTGGCCCTGCGTGTGACTGTCTAAAGGGAGGGGACAGAAAATGAGCACTCCAGCAGGGTGGCCCTCAGAGCCCTTCCAGACCACTCGGGGCCCCCCGTCTCTCTGGCAGGGAGCAGGGCGCCAGCTGGGCTGGGCCACAGGGGTGATGACAGTCCCAGGGCTCAGAGCGCCAAGTGAGCGGCGAGACCGTGAGGTCACGGTGGTTTCTTGTGCTTTTATTTTTGGAACCCAGATTCTCAGTGCTGGTGAGGCAACAGGAAATGCCAGACCCCGTCAGGCCTGTCACTGTGGTCTGGTCAGCAAAACCAACGGAATTGGCACTACAGCCCAGTGACAAAATACACACCAGGGACCCACATGTAACAACCAGAAGAACAGCCTCTTGGTTCAAAGACATCACAACCTGAAAATCCGGAGAAGAGAGCTGGAGGCAGGAGGGGGAAGCCGAAAGTAAAAGTACTCAGAGTTTCACAGAAAAGTGACTGCCCACCTCAGCCCTGCTTCATGTCACAGGTCGACTCTTGAAAGGCAAGAAGCAAATGGATGTTTCCTAGATTCAGCCAGTGCTGTTTTAAATACTCTACGGACAGTTGTTTAAAGACAGATGACTTCAAAACAAAAGCAAATAATCCTCCCCTCTTTGCCCAGATAACATATTTGTTAGAAAGGTCAATAATGAAGACTTTCGGGCGTGGGTGTGGGAGCAGGCAGTGTGGTCAGAGGAGCAGGAGACGAGGGCCCAAAGCAGGCCCAGGTCCCCAGGGGAAGCGGGGTGTGACAGCGGTGGCAGTCCAGGTCCGCGGGAAAGGCCAGCGGGGCTAGATAAAAGACCCCCATCTCCCACCTCACACAGAATCGGTTCCGGAGGCCGTAGCATTAACACAGATGAGTGTACTTTTAGAAAACTTTAAAAGTCTTAGAACAAAGTACAGACAAGCATCCTCATGACCTCAGGACAGGGAAAAACTGTGTAAAGACGACACGAAACTTAAAAGAAATGGGTAGATTTGATTCATCCAAACTCAAAGCTTCTATATCACATAGACACGCCTGCAATGTTAAGACACGGAGAGTGGGAGTTTATACTTGCAAGTACTTAACAGACACAGAGTTAGCATCCGGAATGTGTAAAGAAATCTCACCCAAAAAAGACAAACTCCGTGGAAGACTGGACCACAGATATTAACCAGCAGGTCACTTAAGAGAAAACGCAAATGGCCAAGACACTCAGCTTCATTGCTACTCAGGAAAACGGGAGCCGGAGTGACAGTCACATATCTCTTCACTGCTCAGATTGGCACGGTTTTAAAGTCTCCAACGGCAAATGTCGGTGACGGCATGAAATGTGGGGTCTGCTGGACACTGAAGATAAGAATGAACAGCAGCACCGCCATTTTTGGAAGCAATGTGGCATTGTTGTTCTGCCAAGGTAAAGCTGTGCATATCTTTCTGAATGATCTAATGATTCCATCCCTAGATAGGCTCAAAAAACAAACAAACAAACAAAAAACAACTCGCCCACATGTGCGCGAATCAGTCACATATTCAAGAATGTTCACCACAAATGTTCACCTAATTGGTGCGACGAGGGAAATGAATCTTCTCTATTTGTGTGATGGAATACTATGCAGCAGTTAAAACGAACAAACTATGTCTCTGTATATCACTGATGACACCTGCATGCACCTGCTCAGCTGCACTAGACATAGCCGATCACGCCTTTCTTGAAACACTTCCTTCATTGGCTTCTGGGATTCCACACCCTCCTGGTTTTGCTCCGACCTCAATGGTTGCTTCTTTCTGGTCTCTCTTGCTGGATGCCTTTGCAGGGGTGTCCAACTTGTGGGCCGTGGGCCACATGCATCCCAAGATGGCTATGATTGCGGCCCAACACAAAATCGTAAATTTATTTAAAACATTATGAGGGTTTTTTTGTGTGTGATTACATGTTGCCATGTACTTAATGTGTGGCCCCAGACAACTCCTTCTTCCAACGTGGCCCAGAGACGCCAAAAGGTTGGACATCCCTGCGAGAGGAAGACCTTACTTTTAAGTATTTGCATTCCCAGGGCTCAGGCCTGTGACTGTCTCTCTTCTCCATACTACATTCCCGGAGGTCTCATTCAGCAGCGTGGCTTTAAAAGCCTCTCTGCACTGAGGATGTGTTACTATTCAATACTATCTCCAATCCCAATCTTTCACCTGAACTCTAGACATGATCCAGTTGTTTACAGGACATCACCATTAGTTACCTAACATCTCTCTCTCTCTCTCTCTCTCTCTCTCTCTCTCTCTCTTACATCCTTGCGCAGGACATGCTTATTGGTTTTAGAGAGAGGAGAGGAAAGGGGGAGAAACGGAGAGAAACATCGATGTAAAAGAGAAACATCAACTGCCTCTTGTATGTGCCCTGACGGGGGACTGAACCCATAGCCTAGACATGTGCCCTGTCCAGGAATTGAACCCGTGACATTTCAGTTTACAGGATGATGCTACAACCAACTGAGCCTCACCGACCAGGGCCCTAACAGCTATCTTAAACCTCGCATGTCCAAAACAGAATTATTCACTCATCACCCAAACCTTCCCCTTCTCGGCTGATGGCCTTTCGTTGGTCTGTTTCCTTAGGCCATAACCTTGGCATCACTCTCGACCCTCCTTTCTCTCACTCTCAACATTTGCCCCTAACAGTAAATTTTGTTGGCTCTACCTTCACACTACATTCCAAGTAAGATCCCTCCTCCCTCCTCCATTGCTGTCCCTGGTTCAAACCAATCATTTCTCGCCATCTCTTGCAGCAGCCCCCTGCCCCCGCCTCCTCCCAGTATCCAGTCTCCCTACAGCAACCAGAAAGAACTTCCTGAAACATACATGAGATCATGTCACATGTCCTTCCTTGAAACCCTCAAATGATTTTTCAGCAGACCCAAGTGCCTCTTCCTAGACTTCTCTCCCGCTAACATCTGTGCAGCTCACACCTTCTTGCAGGCCAGGCTTCTGCTCAAATACCACCTCTCCGAGAGCTGGCCTGGCCACTCTCCCCCAGTCGCACTGCGTCCCCTGCTCCTGCTTCATTTACCTTCATTGCACTTATTGCTGTCCGATATTGTACATGTGCTTGTTTATCTGTTCATTATCTGCCTCCCCAACTAGACTCTAAGTTCCCTGAGGAAGAATGGGACTTGTTCTGCAACTGTACACCCAGTTCCTTGCACTTCTTAAACCCTCAAAAACATATATTTCAGTGGCTAAATGAATATAGCAATGTAGTTAAATCTTTACAAATACGTTGAGTATAAAAGGGAGCCCCAAATTTGAGACTTTCTTAGGTGCTAAGAGACCCAAGGAGAGCTGGTGACCACTTCGGAGCCTTCCGAGAGTGAACCTCCTGACCCCCTCTCTCCGTGATCCTGGGGCCTGCCTGGCTCCCTCCTCCCAGCCTGCCACCCACTTCCTCCTCCGCCACCGCCCTCCATCCTCTCATCCAGGAGACGGTGACAGCCTCTGACCCATCTCCCTCCTTCAGTTCTCCCAGCACACCCTCCACCTCGCAGCCTGAGCGGGTTTCATAAACTCTCCCCTCGGACCACAGTACCTGACCACCTTGCTGCCCTGCACTTTGCTCTTTGAATAAATATCCAAGATCCTTCCAGTGATGTCCGTGGCCCTGTGAGGTTTGGCCTTGCCTCCTACCCCACGACTACACTGCAGCCACACTGGCTGTGCTCTGTCCCTGCAACATGCCGCTCTCCCCCTCTCTAAGCTTCATGCGGGCTCTTCCCTCAACCTGGAATGTTCTTCTCCCCATTCTGAGCTTGGCTCACTCTTATTCATGCTTGAAGCCTCAGTGGAAATGTCCCTTCCTCAGAGAGGCCCTGCTTGACCCCTACAATCTAAACCAGATCCCTTCTGAATTTTATAACCTCTCTTTATATTCTTGATTTTTCCTTTGAGAGCCCGTATCATAGTTTCTAACTGGAAATTTTGTGGGTGTGGCTGTTTATGTATTACCTCCCTCTCTGTACTAGCATTTAAGCTCCACGAAGGCCCAGAGTCTCTCCTGCCACCTGACTTAGAACAGGAGCCTCGCCCTGCTGGCTATGGGCACGGTAGCCTCCTGTTTCCATGCGGGACTGCGGCTCATCTCAGGCGGGACTCTGCGTCCCTTGGTTCCCAGGGCTGCCTGCGGGCCAGGCCTGCGGCGCCCCTGAGGCCCTCTGAGCGGCCACTGGCCGCGTTTCCCCAAACAGCTCCCCTGGCGGATGGAACCCTCCTGTGCTAGTTTTCAGCTTGGTGGGAGCCTGCGGGCGCTTTGCAGAAACCACATTCCTATTTTACAGGAGAGGACATTCTTCTTTCTGAAAACTTGTGGTCGGTAAAGAAGCAACTTTTAGTAATTTGGGTGAAAATATTTGTAGCGCCCAGCAGAGTAGAAAACAGCTCTGGTTTTCAGCCAAAATTCTGTCATTTCAGAAGCAGAAAAGTTCCAGAAAAGGGAAAAATACAGTTCATTGTGAAAATGCTGCGGGCCTCTGAAATTCACCACCCACCCTGAACGCTCTGCTGTAGTGGAAGGACTGACTCAGGCGGACAGAAAGGCGGCCTCGGCGAGTGAGGCAGAGCACCCGCCTCCTTGCCTGGTCTGCAGCAGCCCCTCCGGGGTGACGGCTGTTCAACGTCGTTGTGGAAAACTCTCCTCGCCACCCCTCAGGCCTCATTGCCGTCCCCAGACACTTCACTTCCCCGCTGCCGCCCCCTGCTGGCCTCTGCAACCCCGGGCTCTTCATTCATGCAAACTGATGGGTTTCCTGGTGGTTTGAGCTACACCCGTGGTTGCTTCTGTCACTTGCAACCCTAAGAGCCTAGATGAGTTCAGTCCCCTGGCACTGGAAACTCCCACCTGCACCTCCCCTGCATTAACCCTTGCAGTGCCACTACATCCTGACCCTACTTTCTCTGGGGTCACCTTCCCATCAAAGTCCACCCTGTGGTCCCCACCGGCTTGACTGTACTGCATCCTGTCACACTGCTGGCTCGGTTCTTTCTAACAATCTCGCATCTTGGTTTTTCTCCTGTCTCTGGCCATTCTTCTCAGTGTCCTGTCCCGTGTCTCTGTGCGCTGCCCCTCCCATGCCATCTGAAGTCCTGGAGACCCTTCCTGGTGCCGGGTGACACTCCCCCTCTGGAGGGCTCAGCACACCTGCGTTCTCAACGCTGCTCACGTTCAAAGTCTCAGCCAGACGCCTGGTATTGTGCCCGCTCATTAGTTTGCTGTGACCCAGACTGAAGGAACTTCTTATCCTTTCCCCATACGCACTCCTTCCTCCACGTTCCCCCAGGGCGTGGCATTGCAGCCACCCTGCTGCCCAAGCCCAGAGCCAACAGCCATCCCTGGCTCTTCCCTCTCCCCCAAGCTCATCGATGTCACCTCTTCGACAGCGGTCAGCCTCCACCTAACCCTCTCTGCCTGCCACCTGCACCCACCTCCTCACGCGGCCTCCTGCCCCCATGCCTTCTCCACAGAATGGGGGCCAGGATCACCTTTCTCCACTGCCCACCTGCCTGTGTCCCTGCTCTCCTCTAGCCCCCACCATTGCCTCCGGCCCCGCCCACCGCCATGCCTGCCAACCGCTGCCTTCATGACAAAGGCAGAGAGTCTCTGGGTCCCCCCAGCCCTGGTCTCCTCCCAGCACCCTCTGCCTGCCTCGCCCTGCTTCCCTGTCAGGCCAGACAGACATCTGGATGTTATCTCCCTGGGAGGCCTTTCACCGCTGCCCGCTGGCCACGGGGCCTTCCCGGTTCCCCATCACACCACCTCCTCAGGGGTGCTGCGCCTCTCGGCGTCGCCTGTCTCCTGCCCTGGCCTGCCAGCTCTGGGGGGCCAGGCACGTCCTCCCTCAGTCACAGGGAGGGGCTCAACAACATCTAATAGGCAACCAACCAAACCCCGCAGGAGCAACCCCTCTTGTACACATGACAGGTATTACATCAGAACAATTACTCCTACCCAGGGGAGATGGAAGAAACGAGAAAAACAGGCCTGGAAGAGATGGAGAAAACATGTTCTCACGAACGTCTATTTTTACGGGCTCTGAACCTGCATCCGTAGGAGGGGACGTCTATTATATGGTTATCCAACAATCACCAAAAATGGCACATTTTAAGAAATTCAGCTGATTCTCAGTTCCCAGGACCCCACAGTCTTTTAACTCCCCATCTTCCATTTCCCTCTCAGAGCTCACTTTTGGGGACTTGATGTGCTTATAATCAAAACCCCCACCCCAAACCTCCAACAAGACACAACCTCGACATCTATTATTACTCATTGTTAGTGATATTATTTGTTAGATTAGCATAACACTAAGTTTTTTAAAGGCACCATTTCATTTAAATTCCTAACACAGACCCCCTGAGGGTCAGGCTGTAATTTTTGGGTCTTGGTGAGGGAGGTGCCACATCCTAAGTCACACACTTGGAAACCGGCAGAGCCAGGATCTGTCCCCGGGGCTGTGTGATTCTTTAGAACATGTGGCCGAGGAAAAGTCCAGCAGACAGTCACTGGGCAGCTGCCTGCCAGGAGAATGTCAGGGGTCCAACTGTGGCTGTCTTGAAATTCATGGCCACCTGGAACCTCAGAGTGCGGCCTGCCTTAGAGTGCGGGTCTTTGCAGGTGTAATTAATATGTCCTGTGTGACTCCAGCTGGAGCCTGGTTTCCTCTGGGCTTCATTCCATGCACCTTTTTCCTTTGCTGATTTTTGTGTCCTTTTGCTGCAATAAATCACAGCCATCCTCAAACTGTGTGCTGAGTTCCATGAGCCCCGCAGTGGAACGCGGAACCTGGGGTGAACGTGGGGAGCTCTGACGCACCCCCTTATTTAAAAACTCTTCTCTGGCTTCCCACTGCTCTTAAAAATAAAGACCCAGGGGCCTTTCAGAGGCCACGCCCACTCTGCATGCTGCTGCCGCCCCGCACCCTCCTCTCTGCTGGGGCCCCACAGCTCTGCTCAGCCCTCTGCACTCAACAGGCTCCTTCCACCACAGGTCCTTTGCACTTTTCTTCTGCCTAAAATTCCCACCCCTCTTCCACTTTGTCATTCATCTGCTCTCCCCCTGCAAGAGGTCTCTCGCAACCACCCTTGCTCCAGGAGCTGGCCAGGTATCTCCCCATTTGCAGGGCTCCTCTCCCCCCACCAGTGGCTTCAGGTCCACCTGCTTGCGTGACTGTTGGGAGTCTGTCGCCCCCATGAGGGCGGGGACCAGGTGGGCTCTTGCTCAGGCAGTTACCTGCAGGTCCCCACTAAACACACCTGGGGGGTGACTGCATCCCTGGCAGGAAGATCCCCTCCCCCAGCCCCAGCCCCTGGGGATCTGTGTTCTGAGGAATGCCTATTTTTAAAATCAGGGAAGTCTTTAAATAAGCGTAACAGTTTTTCCTTCTCTAGGGTGGAGAGGAAGTTTGAGGTTCACAGAAACCACCACCGGTGACAGCTGACCGGCTTTGGGGGAGGAGGTTGATGCTTACAGGCTGTGGGGCAGGCTGCCAGCCCAGGCCCCCTCCGCCCCCATCCCAGCACCGCAACACTTCTCCCCTTTCATGCAGGCTCAGGACCCCTCCGGTCTTGATAAGAGTCTATCAACCCAGCAAGACGATTGTGAGGCTGGGTGGACGCAATGTGGAAAATAACACTGACAGCCGTGGCAATCGCAGGGATTGTAGCTGGAAAGCCTGCGGTTTCTGAGCGCTGTGCAAAGCCCTTTACAACACACTACAAAAACTCCATGCAGTGGGGGCCCGGATCTCCATTTACAGACGAGGAACCCGGGAACAGAGAGGCCAAGCAACGTGCCCCAGGTCACAGAGCCAGTGAGAAACAGAGCCTGGTGTCCGACCCAGGCCGCCTGGCCTGGAGTTGCCATCTTTTGTTTACAAAAGCAGAGAAAGAAAATGAAAGCACAGGAAGAAAAAAAATGTGCTATCTGTCTAGAAATGAAGACCTATCCCAAGTGTGAATGAGTCATCTGGGCGACTCCATCCCCCAGTGTCTTCGCAATGTTTCTGCCAGTGAGAGACATGATAAACAGAGTTCATGGCACCCGTTCTTCTTGCCTCACAGTCTAACCAGTGGCTCTTCGTCCTGGCTGCACGGTCAAACCACTCGGAAGCTTTAAAGAACCCTAATATCTGGGCCCCGGGCCCCAGGACTGCGATTCAGTCAGCCCGGGTGTTGGGATCTGCCATGCGCAGCCCAGGTTGAGAGCCAGCATGAGGCCTCATGAGAAATGACTCAAAGGGCTACAAGGCTTTCTAAGTACCCCTGGCTCCCACGCTCCCCAGAAGTGGCTGGCGACACGCGATCATCTGAGGTGAGAAATAGGCCAGTGGACGGGCTGCAAACCCAGCTTACCCTCATGATCAAGTCCACAGCCCCCCGAGTTTAAGTGTTGGCTGTAGCTGGGCATCGTGCCAAGCACTTTCCTGCACAATCTTGTTTCATCCTCACCATGACTCCAGCAGGGAGTTACTGTTCCCATTTTGCAGAAGAGGAAAACTGAGGCCCAGAGAGGTGGGAAGGTACTGAGAGGGGCTCTGAGAAGGGCAGCCTGCTTGGCCCCCTCAGCAGAGCTGGCTACAGCAAACCATGTCTGACCCATGGCTAAAATGCCTCCTGGGTCCTCCTACAATACAGTTGTTTTTCTCTCAAAAACTAGGAGAGCTGGAAAATTACAAAGCTCCTAAAAGCAATCCTATTAAGTTTTTAAAAACACAATTAACTCCGAAAGAGTGCTGAAAGGAACTTGTTCTCTGAATCAGTTAAGAGGCTTATTTGCTACAAGTGGTGCTGACCTGAAATGCCTCAGCTCCCCCCACCGCCGGCTGGGCCAGGCCCGTGAGATAACAAACAGAACCCCCGAGAAGGTTCTGGGTCTGCATTCCAACCCTCTGCTTCCCCTGCAGTCCGTGGCCTCACACCCACCCCTCCCTGTGACACGTCCCAGAAGCTCCCTAGATTCATTCAGACCCCAGCCCGCCTGGACCCCGACCCCTAGCTTCACCTGCTGTCATTCACCCCAATGAGCAGACCTTTACCCTAGATCAATTTCTTTGCGTAGTAACACTCTGAAAACATGAGCAAAAGGAACTTAACTCATAATAATCCCAAACACACCAAATTTATCATCTACCTTATCTGCCGCTCTCCCTAATCTATGTCTTTTACAATTATAATAAAAAGCTGCAGACAATTTTGTACCCTGTTTTTCCCACTAGTTACTGCATCAGACTTATTGATACCTTCTCAATGGCCGAGAAACTTACCAAGGGGTCACTGCCTTCATGACTGTGTTTTATGATTGTTCCTCATTTTTTGCGCCTTGATCACCAATTCTAAGACCACATTTTACCACTTGTGAAATCTGAGTGTTTTATCTGACCAGTTTCAGCGTCGTGTCACATGATACCACAGTAAACGGCGGCACTGTTTTGTCTTCTTCATGGCCCGTAAACAATGAATGGCACATCGACAGTCAACAACGTCTTATGTGCTAAGAAACATGGTCCCATAAGTTAATTGTACTTCTTCCTTTTTATGGGTGATTTACTTTCCTATATGATCATAAATGTTTTCAGGACTCCTGATACACACCGTCAGAACATTTTTTCGCAGAACAGCTATGCAGGCTGACCCGGCCCCTCTGTAGACTAGGAGTGAGGTGATTCCACCACAGCCTAACCAGCACCGAGCATTTCCACCTGCTTTTTTGATTTGCCTATTTCAAAAGGGAACTACACATGAAGGAAAGTATGAGCTGTGTCCATTGGCCTTTCTCTGATTAATAACAAAAGCGGGAACTCACAGGCCTTTTCCTGCTGCCTGGTGAGAAATGCCACACAGTGATGTCCCCAAGGCTGGAAGGGTCCAGAGCCATCTTACCTTTTCGTCCCAGGAAGCCATTTCCCCGCTGTCTCTGGACCTGGAAAAGAGTGAAGCATTTGTCCAGACCTGTCATTCGCCTTAGTACGTGCTTTGCAACACTTTCTTACATGTCTTTAAAAATATTTTTTAGACTTGATTAAGTGTCTGAAAATAGTAAATAATAAAGCTCAAAGTGTATCTAGAAGGATGTACACTCTGGGTATGTACCCAAAAGAGCTGAAACAGGCACTCAGTCAAATACATGCACACCAATATCCACAGCCAAAAGGTGGGAGCAGCCCAAGTGTCCAGTGACATACACATAGATTCATAAAAGATGTTATATCCATAAAATGGAATGTCACCCAGCCATACAAAGAAATGAAATACTTTTTATAATATATATAAATATTGAATAACTGTCATATACCTGAAACTAATACAGTCTTGTATGTCAGTTAGACCTCAATAAAAGTTAGTTTTAAAGAAATGAAGTATCAGCAAACCTCTAAAACATTGTGCTAAGTGGAAGAAGACAGACACAAAACATCACATATGACATGATTCCATTGATGTGCAATATCCAGCATATGCAAAGCCACAGACAGAAAGCAGACTGGTGATTGTCAGGGAGTAGGGGGTGGGGTGGGGGAGCATGGTGGCGAGTGGGGAGTGAGAGCTCAGTGGGGACAGAGCTTCCTTTGGGGGTGAAGAAAATGTGCTGGAATTGGATAGAGGTGGTGATTGTCAATGCACTAAATGCCACTGAACTATTCATAATGCTTAATTTTATGTGAATTTCACTCCAATTTAAAACAAAAAAAAGAAAAAATAAGAAAAAAAAACCCAGACGTATAGATTACAGTGTTGAGATTGCTCTGGAAAGCAGCAAAGAATCTAAATGTCCACCAGCAGGAGTCTGGGTCAGTGAAGGTGCCTCTGAGCAGTGGGAGACCCTCGTGCTGTGGAATCTTACTGTACGTGTGAAAAAAATCACATATATGTCGTTAAAAGTTTGCAAGGATATAGCCAAACTCTTCACAGTAGTTACTGCTGGAGAAAAAGGGTATGATTTGGGGGTGAGACGGGTATTTTTTCCTTCTCTCAGTTTTTGGATGGCCTGAACTTTTACAATGACTATGTGTCACTTCTTAAAAATTATTTTTAACATTGTGACACATGCGTGTAGTAAAAATTTAAATAATACAAATAGGTATACTATGACAAGTAAGTTTCCTTCTACCTAGCCTTCCCAGAAGCAGCCATTCTTACTATGCAGCCTTGGCAAGCACGTGCAGATTTACTCTTTTTCTCTTTCTTTTTTCTGTAAACAAACGTGAATCCAACACTCTGCTCTGAACCTTGCTTATTTCCCTTTAGGGTATGGCAAGCTGAGTAACGGCCCCCTGAAGATGCACACCTCCTAAGCCTATTCCTCAGAACCTGTAAATATGTCACTTTACATGGCAAAAGGGACTTTGCAGGTGTCATTAAATAAGGATCCTGAGACCCCCCAGGTGGACCCAATGTAATCAGAAGGGTCTTTATAAGTGGAGCAGGAACATCAGACATAGAAGGAGATGTGACTATGGAGCGGAGGTTGGAGTCAGAGGGAAATTAGAAGACATGGTGTTACCAGCTTTGAAGATGGAAGGAAGGGGTCATGATTCAAGGGGTGCTGGCAGCCTCCAGGGCCGGTAAAGCAAGGGTGCAGCTCCTCCCTGAGAACTGTCAGAAGGAATCAGCCCTGCCCACGCCTTGACTTTGGCCCACTGAGACTGCCTTTGAACACCTGACCCTCCAGAGCTCTTGGATAATATACTTATGTTGTTTTAAGCCATCCGATTGTGGTCCTTTGCTACACCAGCCGCAGGAGACTAATAGAGTATCTCAGAGATCTCTGCATGCCAGTGTGTTTGAGACCAAGTGCACTGCTTTTAGAATGATGGCACAGGATCCCCCTGGAGGGACATGGGTAGCCCCGCTAGCGATCGACACGGAGGCTGTTTCCCAATCTTTTGTGTGCCCCTATTTCCAATGAAGAACCCTGTACACCGTGCGCTACTTTTATAATTTTAAAAATTACTATTTTGGGAAAAAAATTTCACAAAAACCAAAAACAAAAAAAGTTCTCTCTCCCCACAGCACCGTGCTAATGGTGGGCTCTCAAAGAGTTGCTGCTTGACTGGCAGAGCGGCCTGTGCAGCCAGCGGCGTTTGGCTCCACGTGTTCCCGTTCCAGCCCTGGGGGCCTCACCCTGCTCTCACGAGGTGGGCTCAAGTGGAACTGTCACCGCAAGTGAAGGTGAAGGGGAGAATTAAGGTGCCCTGGAGGTTTCCTGCCTTCACAAGACAGGAAATAGAGCTAGCTCATACGTTGAGAAAGACCCAGCTTCAATAACTCAAGCAACAGAAAACTTAAACCTATCATGACCTCCCCATTAAAAGAGACAAAACAAATAAAAATGAGAACACCCAATGCTTGTAGGCCTGTAGAAAAACTTTCACACATTGCTGGGGATAATTTTTCTAAATAGCCGTCTGGTGGTAAGTGGTATGTGCCTGCATAATAATCATATCCTTGGACAGTTTGGGAACTATATTTCAAAGAAATCCCTTGATAGGAAAAAAAAAACAAACCACCATGCAATTTGGACAAAAAATGTTTAAAGCAAAATTGGTATTAGGGCCAGAAGCTGGAAATAGCACCCAGGCCCCACTTCAAAGAAAAGCTCAGAAAGGCCGAGGGCAGTCAGGAGGAAGGGCAATTCTGAGGTCTGTGTAGAAATGCAGAAAGAACGCTATTAAGCAACGAGAAGTAGAACTCTGATGGTTTTACACACTGTTTGCAATTGTATAAAATTATCAGAACTTATCCTACGTGCCCGGTTCTAGAGAATCCACAGCTAAGGTCAGGGCCCTGCTAATCTGGCAGTTTAGCCAGGGAGACAAATGGGGAACCAAGGAAACACATAAGCAAGCTAACGTTATCCAGGGCCAAGCAGGGGCAGGAAAAACAGTAATGCAGCCAGCGAGCAGGCGAGCATGGCTCCTGCGGCGAGGTGGGCCGCGCAGGCTTCTGAGTCTGTTAACGGTGGTCCTGAATTGCAAGGAGGTAAGTCATAAGAAGGTGGCAGGAAAGAACATTCCCAGGAGGAGGAGGAGGAGGAGCAGGAGCAGGAGCAGCAGCAGCAGCATCAGCAGCAGCAGCAGCAGGTGCAAAGGCTCTGAGAAAGCAGCGAACTTGGCATCTCCAAGGAGAGAAGTGTGGCTACAATGGGTAGCGAAGTGAGAGGAGAGTGGCAGGAGGAAAGCAGGCCCCATCAATGCTGAGGATCTGGGGGGCCCCGAGGTGGGAATGGCCAAATACAGAACAGGCCGAGGGGGTAGAACTTGCTGTGGGCCCAAATGTCAGGACCAGGAGAAGGGCAGGTTAGGGAGCGAAACTGCTCTGGGCTTCCTCCTTCTTGCTAAACCAGCGGTGGGGGAGGGCTTGGGGAATGCAGAGCGGTTCGGGAATTGTGTAAGCTGCAGCCCAAAGACGTTCAGCCCCTTGCTCCCACCAGCCTTTCCTACAGAGGGTCAAGCAGGGAGAAGTTGCCACCCCTAGTCTTGGTCTTACTCAAGAAGCTTCAGCTGCTAGTGACACTGTCCGGAAACACTGTAGATTTCAGATAGCTCTGACTGACCTCAGGTTAAAGGTGTCCAGCACAGAACAGTGCTCTCGGCGGGGCGGGGATGGGGACGGAGAGGACTACGGCTTGGTCCAGGCGCTAGGCTGTCTTCACACCTATCATCTCATTTAGTTTTCTCAGCAATCCTGTGAGGTAAGTAGGTACCTGGCCTACCCTCACAGGACAGAGAAGGAAACCGAGGCACAGAGAGGTGAAGTCCCATGGCTAAGCCTACCAGAGCCTCCTGTGCCAGGAGGATGGGGCTGCACGGCTTCCCCCACTTCTGCAGTTTAACCTGCCCCAACCCACCGTTCTTATTTCTCGAACCCCTCACCCAGGTGAAGGACTGGTCGCCCTAGGGGTTCTTCCCGCAGGGACAGGCAGGCTGGCTCCCGCCAGCCTCCTCCTGGGAGGGCCGGCCTTGGCTTCACCGGCCTCTTCTCTGCCTGCAGTCTGCCGTAGGGGTGGGTAGGGGTGGGGCAGGACGGGCAAGCGACGAATGGACTTAGGGGTTCGCACCAACCTGGGTTTGAGTTCTGGCTCTGCCTCCTTTGTGGCCCAAGGCAAGTGGTTGGCCTCTTGGAGTCTTGGTTTCTTCACCTGTAGGAAGGAGACAAGGATGTAACCTCCTCACCTGCCGCTGCTGCCGGGCTGTGGTGAAGTGAAGGCACCTGGCCCAAACTCCAGGCGAAAGGGTCGTTCTTCACCTCAACACTCCCGCTTTCAAGGGGAGATAACTGAGGACAAAGAGGGGTTTCTCTCCCAGGCCCCGTGAGCGTCGTCTCCTGTCGCCCCTGTGCCTCCTGCAATGGATTCCAGTGCCCCTGGGGCGAGGCAGGGGTTCCGGGGGGAAATCACTGCCCGCCCGCGCAGCGAAACGGTAGGACCGAGGGCAACTGCGGGTAGGACCCCGCGGGGCCCCAGCAGGGTGGCGGGGTCCCGCTGTCCCCCTCGGACCGGGGCGCAGGGAGGAGGGCTGCTCACCGAGAGGGGGCGCGTCCCGCCCCAGAGCACTTACCCCGCGGTCCGCTCGCCCGCGGCCGCCGCTGCAACTGCGAGCGCGCTCGGCGCGGCGCCCCGCCTGCCCCTTCCTCCCCGCCCCTCCCTCCCGCCAACGCACCTCCCCGTCGTCTCCGGCTCCGGCCTGGGTCTCGGTCCGCCTGGCTCTGTCCTTGTCCGTCTGTGGGTCTCCCTCTTGATCTCTGGCTTCCTCCCAACCGGCCCTCCCCCTCCGCAGGCCCGAGCCTGGCCTGAGCCCCTCGCAGCCCCCCGGATGGACAAAGGTCCCGCCCGTGGAGCCAACCGCGAATCACCAGACCCTCGTCCCCCGCGAGCCTGGGGGAAGGGGTGGGAGAAGGGAGCCACTTCCTCCCGACGGCGGGA